CACCAGCTATCACGGAATTCGACGATTTGCTCACTAATCCGCCCGAGTTTGAGCATGCAGTAATACCTAGGCCCCCCCCTACTGCCGCACCTACGCCCGCACCTACTACTGCATCTACTGCTGCACCTAAGAAGCGTGGCCGGCCGCCTGGTGCAAAGGATAAGGCACCTAGGAAGAAGGCAGCACCACGGAAAGGGGCTGCGCAGTGTTATGATAGCGCTCATCCTGAGCCTCAGCCAGCTCCTCAGCCTCAGCTAGCTCCTCAGCCTCAGGCAGCGCCAGCGCTGCTTCCTTATGAGGAGCTCCAACGTCAGATGGCATTGTACGAGCAGTATATGGAGGGGTTGATGGATCAGGATAGCCAGGAAGGCGCGGCGGCGATGTAGGGGGGCCAGGTTTGATGCAGAGAGGCCGTAATAAGGTGAGGATTTGACTGTTTTGGCATGCTCATAGGCACGTAGGCACGTAGGTAGCAATACAACGGCCTATATACACTGTAGGAAACGGGAAGTATGCATAGTAAAACGGGTATGCTGCACAGCCTTGCCATAAGTAGCCTCACGTACGGCCTCACGTACGGCCTTACGTGTAGCTGGCCTATATATATAGCCTCACGGAAACGGTAAGAATGCACAATGAAATAGTGAGGCTGTACAGCCTTCCCATTTCATATAGATGCGCGTGAGAATTAAGCGCCGGAGCTTCCTCCGAGCCCTCCGGACCAATCAGAAGATCAGACGTAAGAAGGGTGTATACGGAGTAGAAAAGGGGTGTACACCGAGTAAATATAGGGTGTACATTTAGCAGCGCCCTTCCTTAAATGGTCGCTGCGCCTCAGAATAGTGTGGCGAAGCAGACCTCCGGCTTGTCAACCTGTCAGTTCTCGCAATCACCTAGCCTACACGATTACCCCATTCTCGCCACCGACAATCCGCCGCAGGTAGACTGGGTAGACTGGGTTAGTGAAGCACGATATATCAGCACCGCCATCGTTCTCGCAGGTCTTATGTCAGTGTTGCCCATTAGACAAACTGTTTTCCTGCCTGCTAAGGCTCACTGAACCCTTTAGAGTCTCATGCGGCACCTATCTCGACCGCCGATTCGAAATACAACACTACTCTGAAACGCCTGTTGACTTCATTGAAAAGGTCTTCGGCAAAGTCACCGCCAAAATCATGACGCCAGTAGCTCAAAGTGGAGGTTCAGACGGTCCCCGACAGGGACTCGGCCTACCCTATAATTCCGACCGCGACTTTACCGAGCGAGTCTGTTTCAGCACTCAAGACATCACCATCTGCGGCTGGCCATCCAAAGGTGGCGTGATAATCATCGACAACGCCACTGCACCAGACTTTGACTATCTCGGTCTCGATCGCCTGCATCCTATCATAGAACGCCATCAAGACCCAGACGACGAAGACGCTTTCTGTGAAAAGATGCTTCTCCTTGGCGCGAAGTGGTGGAGCTCGAGCGCGCGATTCTCGCTGCTGAAAGGCGCGGAGCTGGACGATGAGGATTGCATCCTCAGGCTTGATACGCCCCTTGAAGAAGGTGGGGAGCCGGAACCGGAGCTTAAAGAGAGATTGTGGGTGAGAGTGGCTTGGCCGAGCAACGGTGGACTTGTGGTGTCGGTTTTCGATACGACCCTTTACGGCTACGACCCGCATAGTGATAATTTCGTCCCAGACGATGAGAACAGACTGCGGCTGTGTAGGGACATGAACGAAAAAGCGATTGTTCTCATGGAGAGTTTTGAGGGTAAAGCTTTCGCAAGCGTGGAAGAGTGTCAGGGGGACGCTTTCATCAACCTTCATAACTGGAGGGAGGCTGGTAAAGTGGGTACAGTCCAGGAATGAATGGAAGAGCAGTGAAGACGAAATATTATAGCGTGCCATTACTTTAAGAAACCCAGAAAACGGAGAATCCTGCATAGAGGACCCAAATCGAGCAAATGAAACTAACGTATCTAAATGAGTGTTTCGTTCTGACCGCAGCGCCATCCTTCTGACCAACTGAGGAGTGTGAAAGCTCCGTTGTGTCAGACGTCCTAAGAAGCAAGCGCAATACCCTTAATAGTATATCCCAAGACCCCGCATCCAATGTGAGCCTGTCCCCATTGAGACATCATATTACGATCGTTGCCCTTTTGCCCACACGAAGACAAAGCCATTGCCTCAAAAGCCTGCCAGCAGTCTATATAACAAGCGTCGTTTTGGGGGTTGTAATTCTCTTTCGGTTGCCAGTCAAATTTGAATTGCCAGTTTGTATATTGTGCTGGTCCTCCGTCCCTCTTGGGGAAGAAGCTCAGCCCGCGCGCCATCCGGGGTTTAGCGGCTTGCGACGTGAGCAAGTTCCCAAAAACATCAAAGGGCCACTGATACAATGTGTTGTGGTTCGCAAATGCTGCGTTGCAGAACTGTTGGTATATCCTGTTTGTGTTGGAGCTGAAGATGGTACTTGGAATGCTGCTAGCATCATTGCCGCAATCGAGTTCAGGAACGGGTTGAGGGTCGGGTTGGACCTCGGTAATGTGACCAATGTCTCTGTCTGGGCAGCCTGGCAGGGGAAAGCTATCCTCAGCGGTGCCGTTCAACACGTTCTCGATTGCTTGGGCTTCCCCGTCTCCGTCGTCTGGAGTTTCGTTGCCAAACAGCATCGGGTTACCGTTTCTATCTCGTGGTCTTGACGTCGGTTTTTTTGTGCCTACATTCGGGATATTTGGGTAACTGCATTGTATCAATTTGGAGTCGGATCTCTCAACGAGAAACTCGATTGTGAAAAGGTTGGCAACTTACCGACCTAGCTCTTTGACTGCCCACATTGCCATAGCGTAGAACGCGAAATTGTCAGCTATATTGCCCATTAGCAAGTAGATTTGAAACGAGGATGCTCGGAATCACCACATACCGTTTCGCTGAGAGAACCAGCCCGAAGTCTGCCAATTCCTCAGCACCTTACAATTATAGGGTTTGTAGGCACCTCCTTTATAAGGCTTTTGATCTTTAACCCGGTATGTTATTTGCAGATCATCGATCGGAGGGGCTAAATCGGGTACGTTCATGAAGTAGTCCAGGTGTACGATTTCATGGAAGAAGCATCACGCTCGATTGTCCCACTTTGTCAAGTTATTTTGCCGTATCTCTGGGCCGCTCTTTACCCACTTCGTAGCTTCCGTTAAGGATCTGAGGCCGTTAAAGAAGAGGTTGCAGAATGTGATACGGCTGTAAGGTTGACCGGGACCGGAGTTATCGGAGTATGCTTCCATGTCGCTGAGCGTTCCCTCCACAGGCTTCCCACCACCAGGTGGTGGAGGGCATGGTTTTTTCTTTTTCTTATCCCCACACGTGTCGCCAGGGTCTCCCTTCCCGTCGCCTCCACTGCAGCGAACTTCAATCCAGAGGGAGCGTCCAGGAGGATGGAATGGAGACCAAGGTGGCCGTCCGCCCCACCAAGATCGCCAAATCTCTGCCGCGGCTTTGTAGACCTCTGTCCCAAGTGTATTAGTCTTTATGCTTGATAGCTATAGAGTTTAGTGTACTGTACGTTCGATCTGTTTCTTTGTTTCTGGAGGAACAGGTGTTCTCCCACCAACGGCACCCCAGAATTCTTTCGCTGGTTGATCGTTCCAAGCAATCCCATCAGTTAAGGCTGGTAGATGGGATAGGTAGTAGAAGTCGTTGTAGGCCTCGTTTATGATATTCTTTTCCGCTTTGCCACAGCCTTTATATCCAAACAATCTAGTCCCTCGTAGATTCGCGGCATCAATCTTTTTGCCCTTGTCATCTGTGAGTGGAGGGAAGGGAGGAAACTCATCGTTCTCCCAATCAGGACCAACATCGTACCCAGTGACGTTGAACTGACTGGCGTCGGCGGATACTAGTGACTTGACAGAGCAAAGGCCGAAGAGTGAAATAGCAAACAGATTGTGCCGAATGGAGGCCTTCATAATGGGGCAGATATCCGAACTGAATGAGAGACGAAGGGACGGCAAACGGAAGAAGTGTTAACAGTGTTTGCTTTATTCTCACAGGAAGGTCCTACGTAGCAGCATATTTATATTCCATTCGAGACGCCTTCCGTTCAAGAGACTACGTCGCCCTGATCCCATAGAATAGAATCAGAGCCAGATGAGAATCCTCATGGGAAACACAACGCCACCTAACAAAAATTTCGAAGACTGTGAGAGGTCAGATGAGTATTGGAAAGGATGAAGATGCAGGCGTAGACTATCGTCTTGCGAAAACTTGGAAGGCTATGAGAGGCCATATATTTAGTTCATGCGTCTGCATCCCTAAGCGAAGTCCAACGCTACCGTTCGAAAACTTGGAGGGCTGTGAGAGGTCATTGAAGCGTTGAAGAGGATGCGTCCTTCGTTTCATGAGCAAGGCGCCGCGATCCTGAGGGCGGCACAGCCGCACAGGAAGAGAACAGCATCCATTTCGCTTGGCATTCAACGCCGCATGGTGGTGGCATACGTATGACTCGGTGTTCAGACTGTGTACGTGTATCTAAAACATTATTAATTTCTTGAGCACGGGGCGGTAGAGTTCGGTAGTAGCGATATCTGAAAAGGTTGCTCATTACTCTGTTTTGACCAATACCTCGTCGTCATTTTCAGTCTCGGCTTTCAAGAAACAAGGCCTTCTAGCGGGGGTTTGACATGATCACGTCTTCCTCTCTTCTGTGAACGCGGCATATTGCGTCTCTTCCTTTGCCAGCTCAACGACCGGCCGCAGCGCACCCTGCTCCTTTGACATGGTAGGCTGGCGAAGCATACCCGGCCAGAGAGGCCGAAAGGCGGCTTTCATCGATCGTTGACATCTTTCATGGCATCTGAAATGTCAAAATTGATGGTGGCGAGAATGGATAGATGGGTTTCGTGATGGAGGGCAGGGACTTCAATTGTGAGGAAGTTCTGCAAGCGCCCTGGCTGTCACGAGCACGTGCCGCCATGTGGCTGTGTGAGACCCTTTCGGAGACTTTGGTATGTCTCCGGTACCTGCCCAAAACAAACTTCACTGTCCTTCCGCTTCATAGGCACTCAATGTCGCAACTGCGCAAGCAGTGCCACATGAGTGTCGAAAGAGTCATACGTTCTCGCGATAGGGAAGATGTTTCCGCAAAATCTTCAAATGTCTCCGTCCCCAATATCTACGCATATAAAACCCATCCCCAACGTCTTAATCCACATCTCTTACCTACTTCAAGCCCACGCACTCTACACCCCGCCTCATTCCCCTATTCACGCAAATCTCATTCATCCCCCTTACAAAGACTCCACTTCCTCCCTTACAAAAATGTCTCGCGCTTCAACGTACACCCGCATGACGGGCGGCTGCACGACTCACATCGCCACCGCCATGCTCTCAACCGTCAATCCCACTATCACCCCAGCCTCCTACATTCTGGACAACGCATGCGGCCCCGGCACCGTAACGACCGAGATCAAGTCGCGCCACCCAGCCGCTCGCATCATGGCCACGGACCTCTCCCCGGCCATGATCGCCGAAGTCCAAGAAAGTGTCCAGAGGAACGGGTGGAGCGACGTTGAGACCGCGGTCTTAGACGTACGCGCGCTTACGACTTTGGCTGATGACACTTTCACGCATATCTTTGCGAACCTCGCCCTCCCGGTCCCTGGCGATGCGGAAAGCGGCGTCAAAATCGCGCGGGAAATGTTCCGTGTGCTGGAGATTGGGGGCGTGGCAATGGCGTCGACGTGGGCGGGTGGGTATCCCTTCCCGCTATCATTACTATAATGACTAATGACTAATGACAAGAACAGATCGCGTCTGGCTCACAGCTTTCACGCGCACCTCGCTCCGCATCCGACCAGACCAAGTGCCCCAGAACGCCATGGCCATGGCGCCGGAGTATCTTGCTGGATCGTGGCTCCTGCAGCAGTTTGAAAAGGGCGGGTTTGGGAATAACGTTGAATTGAGACCGGTGGTGACCTATTCCAGTGCGAGTAGTTTGGAGGAGTTGGTTGGGAATATGATGTTAGCGCAGGGTATGTTCTTTGCTGGGTTTGGGGAAGAGGAATTGGAGAGAGCGACGTTGCTGCTTGAGGAGGAGTTGAGTGCGCTGAGGACCTTTGAGAAGTTTGATGGGGGTGTGAGGATTGGGATGAAGGCGTGGGTTGCTACTGGGTGGAAGAAAGGGGATGAGGGGAGGTGATTTGTTGATGGCGAAGGATGCGATTTGTTTGAAATGCGTGTACTGAAGCTCTTTCAGGGCGCTATGGCAGACGGGATTTGAATGGCTGTTGGGGACGGACCGTGTATCTAGAGTGGTTTGAACGCGAGGTTCTTAGCGTCTATAAGGAGGCGGCGGCTGTTGGGTGAAATTAATAAGTGTAATACAGCTCTTTCTACTTTGACCCGTCCGTGAGGAGCGAGCAGAGCAACCCAGTACTGCAGCATCTGAGGGCGCAGAGCGAGCTGGAGCACGCTGAAGAACGCGAAGGCAGTAAGCCGAGCGGGAGGAGGCCTCGAAGGAGATTGTAGCAGCCCGGTGCCATAGCGCCCGAAGGGATAAGGTGCACACGGTCTTTGCGCGGTATGTTGCCGAGGGCCGAGAAACCCGTCTTCTCGACGAGATGTTTGTCAATTCAGGATGGCGGCAGCCACGTCGATACCAGCGGTAATCCCTTGTCCAGTGCCTATATTCTTGGTGGCAACCGCCACCACTCCATGGCTAGTGCCGGAGTCAACACTGTGTATGTCGGTGTGGCCGCCACAGCGGAGGGCCTCGATCACTTGTCGCATAAGCCCGATGAAGTGGTCCCAACGTCTCGAACTTCCCCTCAAACGCGTTGTATGTGGCGCGAGCCTGTCTCGCGAACCATGGTGCCGGGGCAGTGGAGGGACAATTGTTTGGTAGTGTAGGGTGGGATAGGACGAGGTGGAAGGAGTGAGGCGACAGCTGCAGGTTTGGCATGTTGGTGTGCTGAGGGTGACGGTCGGAAGCGTGAGAAGGTCGAGCAGCGACGATGATCAGAGCCTGTGACACTAGTTAGTATACGGAACGCGAGCCAGAGTGAGGCCTAATAGTGAGAAGCAATCAGTGCGCACTCACCAGAGAGGTAGAATTGGTTGCAATGGGTGGTCGCTGAGGGTCTTAATCAATGAGTGATACTGCCATATGCTAGCCTAAGGTAGGTAAAGCGTACGCCAAGAGTTCGCACGATCCTCCCGCTCTCACGATCCTCCCGCTGACGACTGCAGGTGCCTTGAGCACGGGAGAAAGCCAGAGTGGGTCCCAAACATCCCGTAGACGACGTTGGAACCTATCAGCCACTCGTGGCTCTACCCTTGCATGGATGATAAAGTGGCGCAGATCAGCCTTGGGCTGCTTTTCATCGGAGGGTAAGTTTACTCGACCTGCTCAGGGCTGAACTCAGGCATGCTCATTTTGCTCAGCCACGAACTCAGGTTCGCTTAGTCATAGCTCAGTTTAAAACCCTGTATGCTCAGGTTCAAAAGTGGAAATGGACTTTGGTGGGGTCATTCCTGGGGATAGTTTAAACCGCGAGTTGACCGTTTGCTTAGAACCTTACTTTTTTCTCTGGTACAGATTCAAATACGTGCATGAAGGCACTTGGAAAAGCGAAATTGTACGATGATCTGCTGCAGTGTACATTGTAGTGTGGGCAGCGCTGCGTGAAGACCAAAACACATGGATCTGCTAGATGCATGCCCGGATACTTCAAGTAGCCGTAGACACCGCTGCCGGTGATGAGTGTACTTCGGCGGTCTTGCTGGAAGTCTGAATGGGGCTTTCGTCATCTTCGAGCCCCAGCTTTTTCAAATCGACGGCCAGAGGATCCGACTCCTTCGTTGCTTCTGTGGGACCGTCCATGCCAAGCGGAGGTAGCGCCCAGTCTGGCAGAGGAGTCTCGTAGTCCCATTTGCCGTCTGTGCAGGCATATCTCTTAGCGTGTAGATAGATGCCCATTTCATGCACCCCAGGATCGGTGTAGAGGGGCGTTTGACAGGACTCGCACACCTCTCCCGACATCTTCTCAGCTCGGCGCTTCTCGTAATTGTCGACCATTTCATCATGGTATGCTACCGCTTCTGCTATCTCGTCTTTGCCCATGCGCCCGAGCCGGGTGATAATATCGTCGTCGTTGTCCGAAACATCTTCGCCACGGCCAAGAGATGGACCAAAGACGCGCTGATTGCAATAAATGGGGTCGTTTGCAATTGGGTGTCCTAGGAATTGCAAATGGACTCGAAGCTGGTGCGTTCGGCCAGTGAGCGGCATGCACCGCACAATTGAGTACCCCCGGAGGTTCTTCCATGCCATGCCTTTGGTTTTCTGATTTTCCGCAATGTCGCCAGCAACACCGTTATCCTCACCCTTCGGTGGGTAATACGCCAGCCGCTTGAAAACTGTCCGCGCTTCCTTCCCGTTAGCCCTGACACGATTGAGGCCCAGCTTGGGGCTAATCTGCAGGATGGGTTGATCGCAAACGACCTCGCCCTCAGGGAATTCGCCCACAACGCGTGTTACGTATTCTTTCCTTACGGTCCGACTCCGGATCTGCTCACTCATACGCTCCGCCGCCTCCTTAGTTTTGCCAATGAACATGATGCCACTTGTCAACCTGTCTAGTCTATGACATGGCAATGGATTGAAGGTGTAGTGTCGCTCAGCGCGCAAAATCTCGGTGATAGAGTTGAAGTTGTACCGGCCGGCAGGGTGGACGGGCACGCCCGCGGGTTTATTGATGACAAGGAGGTCATCGTCTTCGTGAACTACGCCAATAGGTGTGGCAGAGACTGGAGTTTCATGGCGGTGGATGGTATGTGTGATCACATCGCCGTTTCGGATGAGGGAGCTTGTGGAAGGGATTGGCTTGCCATTGATTGTGATATAGCCGGACTCAATGGCGCTTTTCTATACCTATTAGCTTCATGCTCGAAGATACTCGGATATAAATAGTGTCTCGGAAGTCATACATAGTACTCCAACGGGCGGTCCCGAAATTCGCTGGCAAAGATGTCCAGGATTTCTCTGTCGCGCCACCTCGCTTTGCAGTACGTATTGTAGGTGAAGTGGTATGGACGGACCTTCCTCAGGCCATTCTCGAGGTAGTAGGGCCGTGGCCAGGGATCGCCAGCATCTGGCACGACAACGGCGGGGGGATCTTCGAAGGTATCCGGGGGTGGGACGTGGAATTCGCTTTTGGGGGAGGCCACCAGAGCCATGGACGGAGCACGAAGACGGCCCTTACCCACCAGATAGGCTAGAATGCGAGGTGAAGGAGCCAACGTGGTGTCGCCTGGATAGGTCGAATATTGTATTGGTGAGGTTGGATGTCTATATTCTTTTAATGCCTGTGACGCGTGTCTGGAGCTCCGCATTTCGGGCGCAAGTCGCCAACTTCAAGCCATGGCTCATCTCCACCGAGGCACGACGACCATCCCTCTTTGAGATCTCCATCCAACGTGCTGCTCGTTGTGCCACTGGCTTTACTATTTCTCAATGGCGCAGGCAGACCTCAAGAATCGCATAAGGAGCGACTACAAGTTCCAGTTAGAGTACCGGACACGATGGTGAGTACTCCGCAGCATCTTCACAAGCCCTTCCTAAGCTCCAGAGCTCATATATAGGCAACATATACTGACGATCATGGGTAGGAGCGATAATGATATGTATGATCACATGAACAATAGCATATACTACTTTCTGTAAGTCTAACCCTCACCACCACGCCAGTAGTCCACCTCTGACGAGAACAGCTTCGACTCAATCGTGAATACCTACCTGATAGAACGCTGCGCCCTAAACCCGCCGACTTCGGACCGCATCGGCCTAGTGGTACATTCCCATTGCGACTACTTCTCTCCCGTCGGATTTCCTGCCGTAGTGGATTTGGCGTTGCGAGTGAACAAGCTGGGCAAGAGCAGCGTGACCTACGAAATTGGAGTCTTTGAAAGAGGAGAAGATTCTGTCAAGGTAGTCGGAGAGTTTGTGCATGTCTTTGTGGATAGAAATAATCGGAAACCGAGGGCGGATGGGATGGGGCCGGGCCTCAGGGAAGGCCTGGAAAGAATACTGTCTACGTCGAAATCGAAGCTATGAAAGTCCCATACGAGATGAACCCCTTGGATCGATGGAACACGTGAGAGATAACGTCCCGGAGGCTGATTTCTGGTGTCGGATTGAAAGATCTGGTTCGACGAGGCGTATCCGGCTGACCTCATTGATATACCTGTTCTTAGAGAGCCACGACGAGGGAACTGAGTTGCAGGGTCGATTGTCCGTCCGAAACTCTCTGTCGCTACCTGAGTGGCCAAGCGAGTTTACCAAGTGATCAAAGGGATGAAGTTCCACCTCACCCTGCTTCCCGGAGACTATCTTGAAGCTTCTCGGGGCAGTGGCCGGAAGATTTTATAGGCTAACTTCGACGCATATTCTTTGACACCGTACTATCGAATGACCAAGGGATTCAGCTGGGTGCCGGGCTATTCTTGCAGTCTCGCTGGTTTGACGCAGTTGAAAAGGAAAAGGCCTATTTTTGAGCTCTTGGCGGAACTTCTCAATGGCTGCGTCTCCGGCTGCTCACCGCGGCGCACCTGTCCTGTCCCTGCAGCGAAGATGTCGCAGAACAACTGCCATCACCAATTACCGGGCACGGCCTGCATCGTCTTGCAGCTATTCCGCCAGCCAGAGCAGGCTGCCAAGAAGCTAGTGCAACTGACAGCATCGACCCCCATCTGCCACCGTCTGAGGTGGCCCGAAGAGCTGCTAGACCTGTCGAAATTGTTGTTTTCCTAATCATCCTAACGTACCCCGGGGCCTCAAGCGGTGCCAAGCAGATGTACACAAGCTTAAAGTCAGTGTGTTGCTAGAATATAGAATTGTAGGATGAAATCACATATTCTTAGACTGCCACTTATTGGTCAAGGAAGCCTGCCTGTGGGAAGCCGTCCCAGCTGCCAGATCCGCCTACTCCCCGCATATACCGCGCGTATTTTAGATCCCGCGGCGTATTCCAGAGGAGATCGCCATTCCGTTTCGGAACCCACCAGCTACCTATCCAACCACATGAAGCATATATGGAATGACATCCCGCTCCGATATAAGGAACGTCTTCTTGGCTGCAGAACTTCCGACTGTCTCTTGGCAATCTCAGTCTCCACGATGACATCAGACCGAACCAAATACGCCACGGGCTTTCGTTGGGAACTGGGGAATCACAAGGTGACAGCTCTCGCATCTTATCTACCGTATAGTCGCAATGATGGCTTTCCCACACGAAGGAAAGCGTCCAATTTTCTACGGCTAGTCTACCTCTGTTTTGGCTTTCTTACGCAGCGTCCGGCACCAGTTGCTTCTTCGTCCTGTGCCGTGCTCGGCCATACGCTTGGGTACAAGAACATACCACTGCCTGGCTGCCACTGTTGGCTGCTAAGAGACGACCACTGTCAGGAGTAGCCCTGCTGCCAGGCAGCTGGACAATAAAGAGATTTCTCCAGCACCTTTAGATGCCGCCGTCTCAAACTCTACATCCCTTCTAAATTTTAAATTTCCGCAGGGACAACCTAAGCCGTGACTAGTGTGCAGAGACTTCCGACAAGAAGCTGTGCATACGCCAAGCGCAGAGAAGCTTTTCCATGCATTGTGTTTCTCGGTCTCCGCGCTTTGTACTAATGTACCTCCACCTTCGCTTCCATGCATGGCTTTATTGAATTCTACCAAGAGCCTCAAACTACCCCAGGCCACGACAAGGAGACTTTTAGCCACGCGAGCCAACGTTGTCTGGACTGACCAGGATCAAATTCTACGGATAGGTCTAGGCATTCTTCATGTCTCAGAGTCAAGTTCCACAGCCATGGTATAAATGCAGCTACGACCACTCTCAAGAACTCGTCAAACAGAGGTGTCTTCAAACTCTTTCTCACCTCATCTCGGCACAAGACCAAGCTTTCCAGCCTATCCTTAGCTGCTTACATTTTATCTTCATCAACACCATGCATCTCTCCACCGCCCTCCTCTTGGCATCTACTGCCTCTGCTTTATTCTTCCCTTCCATCCCGCGCTCTCTCAGCCTGCTTCAGGTTGATTCTATCTTAACTGCTATGTTCCTGGATACGTCCACGGGCAAATGCAGCGATGATGCTCGTGCTGCGATTCGGGAAACTTTCCATAATTGCGGAACTTGGAATAAAGCTCAGGGTAGCACAGGTAAGTACTACTAATACCGTATTCTAATTTGTCTAAATCTAACATCCCGTGATAGGCGGCTATGATGGGTCATTGATCCTGGCGCCCGAAACTGGCCGAGGCGAGAACAACGGACTTCAGGATATCTCCACGAAGCTGCTCGCTTGCACAGAAGCGAAGCGTTGGTGTGGCGGCATTGATTGCCTTTGCGGGCGGTAAGCATCTCTTGGCATACTGTGTCTACTCTTTACTAACCAAAACAGCTCATGCCATCGTTACATGCCCTGGTGGACCCCGAATGAAGACTTATGTAGGCCGGAAAGGCTTCAGTAACCCGGCGTCTAACGCTCTTCTCCCCAATGTCCATGCTCTCGGCGACTCTCTCTATGCTCTTTTCTAAGACAAGGGAGTTGATGCCGTCGACCTCGCTGCCATACCGGTGCGCATTCCACCTCGCAGCAACTTCACGTCGACTAGTCCAAGGCCGGCCAGGCGCAGGACAGTACTCCCGGGCGATGGGACGTGAAGTGCTAGTCGGAGACCCTCCGCCCTCCGTCAACGTATTCGTCTTGCCGTCGGACACGGCACTGGCCAACCAGACATCCGTCAGCAAGGAGTTCAAGATCTTTGTCAACAACGCAGGTAAGTGGAGCGGCAAGTTCGCCGATGCCATGACTAGGATGACTGCTCGGCGTGCTAGGCGGTAGCAGCAACCTCGCGGACTGCACCAATTATCTGCCGTCGTCCACCAACGCGAAGAGGGAAATGAGGTCTGTACCTGCCGACGATCGAGCCTAGTAGACGGCTATGCATGTCGATAGTGTCAGGAAGCTTACTCCTGGGTTATGCTGGTGGAGGTTTGCCCAATTGGATCGCTAAGAGGAGGCGTAGACGGAATTAGCCTGGATCTAACCAAATTCGCGTACATAAATACGTTTGGCGAATGGAAAAGCTATGACTTATCTTCTTTTGGATGCAGGCCGCATGTTGTCGATACTCTAGATTACTCATGCGGACTAGTCAGATCGTGGCGGGCGGGAGATGGCCTTCCGATCGCTTGGCCCGCGCGATTAGCGTGCAGCACTACTGCACCACCGCCGGGTGGAGGGGCGGCATGCTGAAGAGGCTCCTTCAAGCGATCCAGACACCATCTTACATATGAAGAGGTTCGTGCATCGGCTCGAACTGCGAGTGCGGCCTCCTCAGTGGCATAGAAGTTGGGCAGACTGTCTTGGAGGCTTCGAGGACGTGCGGATAAGGGAGTTGGCAAGCTTGATTAGCGGCGGATGCTCCCCGGCAGCGCTGTGATGCTTGTGTGGATCGTGAACATTGCTACACGAGTCGTGTCGTCTGAAGAGTTGTGGTGTGAATACTCCCGACCATTGCAAATGCGTAGAAGAATACTATTCGAGGGGTCTTGGCAAGTTTGGTTTTCGTCTTCTTTTCAAATTTCTCACAATATTACGTCAAGGCATTTCATTCAACGGTAGATCGGTGAGGGCAAAAGGGCTTCTTCCAACCGAACAGCTGGCGTCATAGTGTGCTAGACTTTGAGCAGCAAATCGAGTGCAAGGGGTTGATGACCGCACCGTGCACATCACTGGAAGTCAGGCCACCTCCATTCACCATGTGGCTGAGTAGACTGCCTATTGGAGAGGTGCACGGCTCTGATCACTATCCCCTATAGTCCAATCTCCTATAGTCCAATCCCCTATGGTCCACTCCCCTATGGTTCATTCCCCTATAATCCATTTCCTACTCAAACCCTCGAATGGTGTAGATCCGTCATCTCAAACGCATCTGCAGCTCAACACCTCAATTCGAGGCCTTGGTCTTTACACTTCATACTTCAAAACCTCAAACTTCAAACATCAACCTCAAGCCTCACATTCACAATCTCCTTCCCAGCATTCACACACATCCATACATCCATCCACCTCTCCCCTCAAAATGTCCCAACACTCCCACCGCCCCAAACGGCCCCTATCCCCCGACCCCGCCCAACCCTCCGCCGCCGCCGACATCAATGCCAACAAGCGCAGCAGACTGGCGCCCCCCAAGCCCGCGGCGGCGCCCAACTACCTCTTCCACATCACGATCCCCTCGGAGCGCGGTATCGGCGAGGAGTGCGCCGAGTCGCCGGCCCGCACGCTGTCCATACCCGCCGCGTGGACGTTCCACCAGTTCCACGAGGCGATCCAGGTCGCCTTCTACTGGAGCAACACGCAGGCATACCAGTTCAACGTATGCGAGCCGGGGAGCGCGCATAGTTTAAGAGTCGTCAGTGAGAGCGTGCCGCGACTGCACGTGAGCGCGGGCGGCGCGGCGCCGTTTGGGGTGTGGGAGGATTCGCCGAGTGTTGAGAGTACGCTGAAGATTGACGAGGTGTTCAATGACTATAAATGGGCGGGTATGTTACTCAGCTTCCACGTTTCCCTTTCCATGAAACCTTCCTCGCCGGCCTGCGTACCCATTGCATTCCCATGTCCTGTTTGAGGGTGGGCCTAGCGAGTTTCACTGAGCCCTCCAAAAACTACATGGTGCGGAATTCTGAAAAAGGGATCAAAGGCACTTCAAGCCAGCGACATACGGGTGTCCGCAGCTTCACGACAGGCGGCGTGTAGACGACCCCCCTCAAAACACCTCACAAGCGGCTAACAAACCCACCTCTGCCTCGCAGCCCACGAATACGAGTACAAATACCACCCCGCCGTCCCCGTCACGCACCGCATCAAGCCCCTCGGCCGCGCCGTCGCCACCAGCACGGGGCCCGAGTGCATCGCGGGCGAGTTCCACGCCGCGCCCGAGGGCCTCGACAACGACGCGGCCGACGACCTGCGCGCGGCGTTTATGCCGTCGCTGCTCAACGAGACGGCCGACGAGAAGAGGGCCCAGGCGCGCATGCGCCGCTGGTACAGGGCCGAGTGCGTCAATGGCGACACCGAGGGCCTGGCCGGCGCGCGCCTGTACGTCTGGAACCGCGGCTATGTGAATGCCATGCTGTGGAAGCTGTGGAAGCGCGCGGGCGTGCCGTGCTATCCGGCGGGCCCGCGGGCGCATGGGAAGGGGTGGCATTGGATGCAGAGGTGGTTGGAGGAGGATAGGTTGAGGGCGCAGGGCGCGGCGTGATGGGGGTGGGATGGGGCGAGGGGGTAGGGGGTAGGGGGTTAGGGTAGACGTGAGGGGATGCGGTTGGGGGGTTCTCGCGGCGCGGTTTTGGGGACTTGTGATGTTGCTCGAGATCCTGTATATCCCATAGCTTGATATCGCCTTGTCTGGGCCGGCGTTTGGTTGGTGCATATTAGAATACTCGCGCGCCTGTAGAATACCCCTAGTCTCCTTACACACACTCTCAGTATAGAATATGGCGCAGCAACCACTTTGCTACCTGTTCCAGATGTAGCTGTTGGCTCGGAAGGGAAGGCGGTAGATGCCAATGTTCGAGTAGTTCTTCGAATCGCGCCTGAAATTGTGTCCAGAGCAGACTATGCCTGGAGAGAACTCGGAAGTGATACGCACTTCGGCAGTGTTCCAAGTAGTGCGAGAACACGAGACAAGCAGGGGACGTGCTTGGAGGTTAGAAGCCGTTAAAACAAGCTTTATATTCAAGGACGAGACTACCCATAACTCCCATTTTTGCTGCGCATAAACCCCCTTTTTGCTGCGCATAACCCCCCTTTTTGCTGCATATAACTCCCCCTAGATTTAGGGGCCACTAACTACACACCCCCTTTTAACTCCACGCACACCCCTTTTTCACTCCACATACACCCCCCCCTCTTGGCGCTTCGCCACCTTCTGATTGGCTCGGAGCAGTGCGGAGGAAGCTCCAGGCATTCACCTTTTCGTCTCTCTACACGTGATGCTATGCGCAAGGCCGTACGTGATGCTATACGCAAGGCCGTACGTGATGCTATACACGAGGCCGTACGTAAGCTCGTACGTGAGCTCGTACGTGAGGCTATACGTGAGCTTGTATGTGAGCTTGTATGTGAGCTCGTACATAAGGCTATACAAATTTGGCATGATGTAATTGCTTGTGTTGTACATGGTCGCATTTGGAGAGAGCATTCGGAATTGGTGAGTGTATTAAGCGAGCGAATGGGAGGCTACGCAGCAGTGCTCCGAGCCAATCAGAAGGTGGTGAAGCGCCAAGAGGGGGGGTTGTGTGTGGAGTGAAAAAGGGGTGTGCGTGGAGTTAAAAGGGGGTGTGTAATTAGTGGCGCCCCTAGATTTAGCCTAGCTCCGGCTCGTAACAACTATGTTCCACCAATTAGGCTATCGCTTAGGCCATAATAATGTTCAATAGCGGGTTTTAATTCACCAATACAGCACCGCATCTCTCCACCGGATCTCTCCGCTAGACAAGCTGGCACCCTAATAGTAACCTAGGGCTCTATTTCCTTAGGCGCTAACATTCAACCAGCCCTAGAGGACGCCCCTCTGTCTACTCCTAAGGAGAAGGCTCTTTATAGTGAAGGAGCCGATGCAGCAGGAGGATATTCTGGTGTAAGACCTTGGTACAATGGTGTATACGGCTTTCCTTTTAATTAGCAATTGAGAAGTGGCCATCTAGACGCTTTCCGCTTCTAGGCTAGCTAGAGTAGGTGGAGTGAATAGACTGTTGTTGTTGTATATATACACATCCTATGCAATTCGTGTATACATCCTTTCCGATTTGTATAGCCTTGCCGTTTTGTATAGCCCTGCTGTTTTACGCATCTAACAAGCGAGTGAATATAATTGGTGGAACAATATTAATACCGGCCGGAGCTAGGCTAAATCTAAGGGGGGGTTATATGCAGCAAAAAGGGGCATAGGGGCAGGGAAGAAGACTGAATTCAGGGGTGAAAAGCCACTAAATTACCACAACAACGCGTATTAACGCGTGATCTTGGCGCGCCTTAACGAAAGTCCGGACTACGAAGAGATTGAAGACGGCAAAGTCTTGGATTGGATTGGGTTGGGTTGCAAGGGCAAAATTATTGAACGTAATTCGTCGTCTGGACGGATTATTGACCACCCTGTTTATATTTGACTTCATGAATGAAAGAATACGAGATGAATGAGCATAGGCCACGAATTGAAAACAAGACACCTCTTGAGAAACAACTTAAGGGTATAGAGAATCAACCTTGGTAGGGCTGTTTCATTGTAGCAAAAAAGTAAATACAGGTCTTCGTGTTGACGTGAACATTGAAGTCTGGCTTATTCTACCAGGGTGCCAGGGTCCTACCTTAGCTGCGGGAAGGATTGCGGAAGCCATCCAACGGTCAACACCAGTCGCTCCCGCCGGGGTGGCCAAGACAGCAGAAGACTGAATAAGTAAGCTCGGGCTGCTCGTCGGGTATTCTTGGTGTCATAGGGAGAGATATACTACCGCGTGTCGACATGCTGGTACAACTCCTAGACGGGACCTTTCTACCACGAGCCTTTAGTTTTCCGCATTATCTGAGCCAATGATATTGGCAGCGCTCTATGGCGACACACTGACAGTGGGTCGACGTCGGAACGGTTGCGGAAATGGTTGGGACAGTGTCAGCCAACAGTCATCTGGACTATCTGGCAAGATACAATGCCTTGTTCCATATTGGTCTATGGATACCTTAGCACCGTGTATGGGGCTTTTCCAGCTTGAAACATACGATGTGATGATTGAGCGGTATGCCAACAGTGGAACCTTAGGCCGACCTTACAGCAAAAGTGCTCATAACTCATGACTCTATATAATGCCGACAATTTTCAGCTACAATATCCGTTTCCTAGAACTCCATTCATGCTTCTGGCGAGCTTTCTGCCGTACCAACTGATCCCTGTTCCCTACAAAAAAGTATATATACAGTGTATGATCCATCAACTAAAATTTCTTCCCCACTCCGTCTTCCAATGGCGGCCAAGATCCGCTCCAGTGAACCCGTTCACCCACGCCCCTCCTCCCTCACCCTCGCCCTCTCTTTCCGCTTCGACACCAAGATGAAAGCCCCCGCAACCAGCACACCCAGCCCACTCAACCCAACCGCGAACCAGTACGCGCCCCTGAGTCCCGTCAACCGCGCCTGGATAACATCTGCCGTCGCATCTCCCAGCGGCGCGGCGACTTCCACTCCCAACCGCTTCGCAGTCCGCCCGATAGTGTAGCGGTGTACCGACCCCGCGAACCCCAGCCCGCAGCTGATGCTGTAATTAACCATCGTGCTGACCAGACTAGCAGCAATCCCCTGCTTCTCCTTCGGCAGCGCGGTCGACAGCAGGATCGTCGCGGCGGGGAACGAGAGGTTCATCGCGCCGGGCATGAGCATGACCGAGACGAATGTCTGCGCCCAGTAGGTCTGGTGCAGCGGCGCGAGAGCCATCAGGAGCGCGCCGAGGAGGAAGAAGAGCATGGCGATCAGCATGACCCAGGACACGGCGATGCGGCGGAGGAGCCAGACGGTCGAGAAGGCGAAGAAGACGCCCGTGATGGCCACGGGAGAGGTTTCGGCGGCGGTGAGGAGCGCGCTGTGCCCGCGCAGGTGCTCGAGGAAAAGGTAGAGGTAGTAGGCCCATATGCCGTGGCTGCCCCAGCCGGCGGCGATGCAGGCGAGGGCGAAGAGGGCTTCGAAGCCGAGCCCGCGGATTGGGATGAGGGGGTGCGGGGTGATGTATAGCTCGACCCAGACGAAGATGGCCATGGATACTACTCCCAGAGTTAGGATGGCTGGGATGTATGGCGTCGCCCACCCAGCTAGAGGTGCTTGGTTGAGTGCGAAGTTGATCAATATCAGGCCGGTGACTCCTGTCAGCGAGCCTAGATAATCAAAGGTCGGCCGGTCGATTCCTGGAGGATGCAAAGGGCCCTCTTCATTTGGGATGATGCAGAAAGTCATGGCCATGACGCAGAGACAAACAGCTGATAGTATCCAGAAGCACCACGGCCACCAGTAGAGCTCAGCAATCAGAGCCGAGAAGACGGCACCGGCGGTCGCTCCTGTAGGCCCCGCTGCGCCAAAACATGCGAAAACTGTATTCCTTTTCACGCCGATTGGAAAGTTCCGCCCGATGAGGGCAATAGCATTGGGCACGATCAAGGCTGGTCCCATCCCTTGGAACGCGCGGCATACACTGAACACGACAACGCCCCACCTATAGCAGAAGCCCGATATCAGAGACCACATGGAGAACCATGCCCATCCTATTAGGAAGACCTTCTTGTGGCCATACATGTCGCCAAGCCTGCCTGTACTATATTAGCAGAGCCATGCCAGATTGACGCAGTCCACGATGTTTCAAAAAGCTGCACACTAGTTGGAATGACTCTTACCTGCAGGCAAGATGAAAGTCCCCACTGTCATACTGTAAGCCGCTGAGAACCAGCTCAGCGTCCCGTAGTCGTGAATATGAAAATACTCAGCCAAGATCATGACTGGCGCGACCGTTTGGTTCATGCCGCCTAATGAAAGAAACTGGGCCGAGCAAACAATCAAAACGAACGCTATCTGGTGTCCTTGAGACATGTCTGGCTTCGTTGGCTGCGGTGGATCGTTACAGAGGCTGGGTGAGGCTGATGCGGGCGTGCATGGAATAGCCGAGACATCGAGAAACTCAACATCTTTCTCATACTCCCCTAGATCCTCAAAACCATTATTGCTCCACCGGTGATCTTGGAGTCTGCTGTGCGGTCGTATTGAGAAAGACGAACGGTTCGAGAGGCGGCTCATGGCTCGTGACCTGGCGAGTTCGGCAATTGTCGGTGCAAAGTTGTTAGAATATGTATCGTATGAGTGCGAACTATCTCGCTGGACGGTAGAAAATCTTTTGGAGCTCGTATACAACCCAGGCAGTGGTGCTGCTGAAGGGTCAAAGTAACTACTTGTACTTGGAATGGACCGCATGATTCTAGAGGCGTGTTAATCGTTATTTGAAGCACGGAGAATGACTCGAGCCGTATTCAACCTACGAGTGAGAGGTCTTTGATATGAGATAGGGCATAGAGCCTTTGAGGAAATGAGCGGCAATCGTCCACTACTTACGGTAACGGGCGGGACGGCGCTGTCATGGCTTGACGTCTCCCAAGGCTAGCATCGACGTCTGATATCGATCGACGAATGGTCGACCATCATGGGGTATGCATATAGGCATAACACTGCAGCTCATGGTTCAAGACAGGGCCGCAGGTGAAGCGTAAGCAATGAGCACCGGCTGGACCTATCGAGTCCACAACGTGCGAGCATTTTCACGGCCGGAAATGGAAAACGCGGAGAGCCGAAGGCAAAAGCGGAGCTTTGGTAAGGAGAGATGGAGCGATACGACAGAGAGGATTCGGGAGAGGCGATTGGCAATGGGCTGCCAAGATGTGTCTTCTCTGATATTTGAGGCTTCCGCGCGCTGGCAAGGACTCCTGACCGGTAGGAACGGAAAATTGCGCGCGCAGAAGCAGCAAGAAGCCTCACTACTGCAGAGCCCATGCAACTGCGTACAGCGGACAACATTCCTGCGGGCAACGGCTGAGGTCGCTAACAAAGGATCCATGGCTAAAGAGGTCGCGAGCTCTGAGATTTGTAACCCAACGCTTTGGTTCATGCAGGTGTCGTCTGAGACGAGGCATGTACTGTACGTCGTCGTATACCGGTACATGCGAAAATGTAAAATATGCTTTGGAAAGCGGAACGACTTACTCCTAAGCTGCATATGACCTGCATATGACGCGTCCCAAGGGCTCAAGTCTGGTTGAGACGGAAGTTCGACGTTGCTCGACGGATGGTCGATGTTTCACCGCGTCGGCCAACAGGAGGGTTCCTGATGGAGCGTGCGGCGAAGCCCCGAGATAGCATTTGCCAAGCGGCGATCCAGGGGCATTGCTTGCATGAGTGCATGAGGATGGCTGAGTTCGTATTTGGCTCCAGAGTAAAGAAATGTTTTCTTTGCAAGCGCCGCGATTTTATCCGCCGTCTCTGGTTTGTCCAGCCACAGCGGATTGCGCTCCGTTACATGGTTGCACTGGCACTTCGACAGCAGCGGGCATTCATCGACGCTGAGCACGGTGCGTTCAGGTCCGTCGACTTTGGGTAGGGCACGCTCAGCAGCTCTCCAGGAGCCGGGATGGATGGTCGTCATGGAAGCCGAAAGAAGCTGGCGGCGTGGGTTGAGTTCCGGAAATGAGGCAAACTGAGGAGGAGGAGCGAGGATGGGCCGTATCCCTAGCCGTTTCCAGGTGCCAAGAATATCGGATTGGTGCTGGGCTGCTCAAGCTGTTCCGAAGGCTGCGTCCAATCAAGCTTTCAACCTTCACGGAAGATCGCCAGGGGGCAATCTAGCTCCCGAAGGCGTCCATCAGGCCCCTGTCGCCGACGTCATCGACCTCCATCCTTTGCGATGCTGCTGACCGTCAGTATCGCGACCAGCTTCCTCGTCCGGCCGCCTCCTGGTGTTACTGCATTGATTCCTTCCACGACCAAATGGGTGTCGCCTTGTCGCCGTCTCGTGGCAAGCTCACCTAACTGCAACAAGTCAGCAACTTTGGAGTGCAGTGAACGGCAGAGAAGCCGTTCGCCACCACATGCCTAACCCGCAAAACAACCTCGTGACTGTCGACCGCCAGTTGAATGCAGGCACGACGTTGGCAGGGCTCTGCTGCTAACTGTTCATGTGTTACCACGCTGCCGACTCCACTTCGAGTCCTCTCGCGTTTCTGCTGCACCCGGTGGACGACGCCGAGGATCCGGACACCCCTTGCACGAGATAGCGAAACTCCTTCCAGGCCCACACAGGCTAGAAGATGGTACCCAGGTAGTATCCTGGTGTTCACGTGCCAGCATTACTGCAACCAGCCTGCGATGTCCACCCCAGTCGCTCCTTGTAATATCCACGCTTCGGGTCCGCTATGTTGTTTCAAGTCATGTGAGCGTCCGGTCAGCCAGACTTCGGAAAGCCCAGCACTATGGCTCGTCAAGAAACAGATGGACGAAGCTCATAATGTCTTCGAATGTCAGCTTCCAGGGATTCAAATACTGGACTTTCTTTTAAACCCAAGCTGGAAGCACTCGCTTCAGACTTTCATCTTGAACTACTTCTCAATTCATATCGCGAGTCTTGCTCTCTTTTAGGTTGAGATGCAGACGACACGGGTACAGTCTATACACAGGCATCATGAATTTCTATGCCAGCCTGAAGAACTTTGGACTTCATCTTCAAATGATAGCAATATGATTCTATAACTCGGCCTCTGCCCTTGGCCGCGTATCTTTCCCTCTGCTAATTTCATATTTGTCTGGCCTTACCTGCCGAGTCTTCGATCGCACGTCCATACAGTCTTGTATTCATGATGGAACCCCGGACTGGAACGAGTCTTCTCATTTCTCTCTCAGCCCAGGTCCATGCGTCTCCATTGGTATTCACAACTACTCCGAGTCAAGGCTAAGAAGTGCAATGGCTCAATCACAAACGACCGCATTGGGTGTAGCCATCTACTAACTAGTTGCCTGTCGTCTAGGACACGTACGCGCAGTGTTTTTTCGAAGCGCACATACTGCACTTGCGTGGCGCTCGATGCGGTCGCTCCGCCGCTGCCGGGCCATTTTCTGTTGAACAAGTCGTCCGTACGATTGCTTAAGGATCGAGAAATTTCCTACATCTAGGGGATGGAGCAGATGCGAGCATTGCGATGGCATGCAGAGGACGGCTGTCTAGTGATATAGGTAGTACTCATCGAATTCGAGGACACGTGGTTGTTTTGACCATCTAGGACTAGCATCTAATACGTATCAACGGCGCGACCCTCTGCATGCTCATGGAGTAGAGCCAGTCAGCGTAGGCCAACTTCATCTATTGTCCAGCCATCATCACTAATAGAAAGTAATCAGTCTTCTGGAATAATATCGTATCAACTCTATTTCGGAACCATTACGGACCACGAAGCTGGAGGAATACGCGGTATTTCTACCAACCTTCTGTTTAAGGCGAACACAGTATCCCGAGTCAAATCCGGAGTCGGTGTAATCGATCTGCCCAAATTTCCGGGCCAAAGCTAACGCGCTTATTGGCTGCTCACGCTTTCGCTACAATTTAGTGCGGCACAGCATGCACGCATTACAAACACTCCTTTCACTCTACTTTGCCTGTAGTTAGTTAGTCTTGGTCCGCTCGATTAATAATCTTACTCATGGTCCGCTGAATAATAATGCCTCAATATGGCAAGGCCTGATAAAATCATCGAGTTGATAGTTGGGGCTCTACTATTTCTCTTCGCTTTATCTCTTCAATTTTTCGTTAATTGAGTCTATACAACATGCAGTCAATTTTTCAACACCGCCGCCTGCGCATCGCAGCAAAGCGAGACGTCGATAGCTTTCGTAAAAACGCCGACTCGGCTGCAACGAGCCACCACACTACAAACGAGATCAATTCCGCCGAAGAGGGAAAAGGACACCAAGTCACGGAGCACACATTGCCCGGCATCCAAGTCCCGGAACAGTCAGAGCATGATGGCAGCACCACTTACCAGGTCGGATGGGCAGAGGGCGACCCAGAAAACCCAATGAACTGGACCCGCGCTCAGAAATGGTGGGCGACCACGGCCGTCTGTCTTATTGCCATGGCTGTTAGTATTCCGGCCTCCATCGACGGTCCTGTCTCCGCCCAATTCAATGAGCACTACCACGTTGGCGCCATCGCTGGCTCGATGACTATAGGTACGACTGACCTTGAAGCTCCTCTAAAATATTGGAAACTGACCATATACGCGCTGTAGGAATGTACCTGATTGGCATTGGAGTCGGCTCTATGTTTGCGGCTCCGTTCTCCGAGACCTTCGGCCGCAACCTCGTCTACTTCAGCACCTTGACCCTCTTCATCCTCTTTACTGTCGGCAAAGCACTAGCTCCAAATTATGGAGCCGCCATAGTCTTCCGATTCTTGATTGGTTTCTTTGGAGCAGCGCCTCTAACGGTCGGCGGCGGCACGGTCGGCGACGTATGGGGTCCACTTGAGATCACCTTCAGTCTCCCCTACGTGACTATGACTTCCTACGCTGGGCCCATTCTCGGACCCATCATTGGCGCCTACCTCCCGAAAATTGGCTTTCGATGGGCCGATTGGATCTCCATGATAATTGCTGGCGTAGTCTTGGTCATTATCTTCCTCTTCCAGCCCGAGACGTACTCGCCCACCCTTCTGGATTGGCGGGCACAGCAGCTCCGTAAGCTCACGGGCGACTCCCGGTACCAAGCCGCAGGCCTCGCATCGACCCAATCGATGGGACAACGCATGCTCACCAATCTGTCGCGCCCGTTCGCCATGACCTACACAGAGCCGATCATCCTGATCTTCTCCCTATACCTGATCATCATCTACATTGTGCTCTTTACCTTCCTCAATGGGTTCCCGTATATCTTCAGCGTCCCTTATGGCATCTCGAACGAACTCACCTTCATGATCTGGACCGCTCTCTTGGTCGGAGATATCGTCGCCATTCCTCTAATCCCCATCGTCTATGGCTGGACGAAGAAGGCTGCTACTCGCGCCGCCGCCAACAACCAGCCCCTCGCGCCCGAAGTCTGCCTCTACTTCGCCATGCTCGGCGGTTCCCTCTTGATGCCCGTCTCGCTCTTCTGGATCGGTTGGACCTGCTACCCGGGGATCAGCATCTGGGCGCCCATCCTCGGCGTCTTCGTCTTCGGCTACTCGCTCGTCACCATCTTCACGACGACGTATATCTACATCGTGTTTGTGTACCTGCAGTATGCGGGCTCGGCGCTCGCGTTCATGACGTTTAGCCGGTATGTGGTGAGTGGCGCGCTGCTCCCGGCGTCGGTGCCCATGTATGAGAACCTGGGCCCGCACCGCACCCTCACGTGGCTCGGCGCGCTGATGGCGGGGTTGGCGCCGTTGCCGTTTGTGCTGTATAGGTATGGGCATAAGGTGAGGGCTATGAGCAAGAATGTTCAGAATAGGGGTTGAGTCTGGGATCAGGGTTGGCCAGTGACTGAGAGCTTCAGAGCCTGATCTCGTGGCGGATGGAGTGGGTCTTATAGGGTAAGCGAGTGTTGAGGGTGGAGTTGAGTGCAGATGAGAGGGGTGCAATAGCATGTGGTTTGCAGCAGATCAAAAGTGGCATTGCTATCACAAATCTTTTCCCCGAGTGAGAGTCTGCACGAGTGAAGAGCATGAACAAAGTGTAATGATGATAGCAGAACAGTCGGGCTAGCGTGCTTTAAACGGTGAGCATTCTCACTTCAAACAAGTCTCCACGGCGATAAGCGCACGAGCAAATGAGGTTCTCGTGACGTGATTGGCTCTTCTTTTCATTGCTTCAACCACCCGCCACTCTACCTTCCGTGCCGCTAGTATAAATCTTGTGCAGCTTTCTGCAACAATGACTTCCAAGGAGCCTCGTAAGTTTATGCCCAATCATCCACTCAGGCCAGGCCATTGGGTGTGTGTCGGACTTTGCATTGTTGACACACTTCCCTGGTTCCCTCCAAGGGCTACCACCAGAAATATACCCCGGATTCATTGATTACCTGGAAGCCGAAGACCTCGCAAACCTCCGCCTCTGTTCTCGTACGGTCAACGCGAAAGTCGTTCGTGGATAGGCTAAGAAAGTGTTTCACAAGCCGGAACTTGACTGTGGCTCTTGAAGGGCTTCGCCGGTTGCTCAACGCTATCAACGCGAACCCCGAGTTCGGCCTAGCTGTCCGCACCGTAATCATCGAGTCGATCCATCATCCAGAGTCTTCGGGGGATTCATACATGTCACACATTGAGCTCTTCGGCTTCGCACACGGCAGAGCTGGTACAATACTGCTTCATGATATATCCAAGAGCCTCCCGATGGTACGAGAGGTCAGGCACTGCGGTTGCGCCGGATCCCCAATGGGATAGCGAAACTTCGTTGTGGAAGACTGTGAGAGACGCCACTGTGTTGTCTGCCAGCACGAGAGAGGTGCTTACAGCACTGATATCCAACAACATCCGCCTAGAATCTTTGTGTTTAGAGCCGGCATCAGATGAACATATGCATATGACGCTGCTACGTTCTAGCAGTCTTCATGCAAGCATGTTTCGTACTACCGGCGGCTACGCGGAGACCTTCTCTTAATTGCACTGCTTGGATTTGCATCTCTCTGCCGAGAGCCAACTAGAGCAAGGCACGCACGAAACTCCACCGCTCTACATTGGTGTTTAGCACACATATTACCGAATGCGCGTTTCGCCAACGACTTTACCAGAGCGCTGGCCGGAGACAATGGAATGCCTAATCAAAGTCTTGTGCAACGCCTCAAAGCTTGAAACGTTTACATCTCGCGCTCTCCGCCACCCAACAAGCACACCGCGACTTTCATGAATGCTATGGCAGGACGAGTCCACTTTCCTAAGCTGAAAAAGCTGGCCCTGGACCGGTTCCATTGCGACGAGGCTGACTTATCCACCTTCCTGAAACGTCGCAAAGGAGTCCGCGAGCTCAGCGTTCAGTACACGCGCCTCCTCTCGGGCTTTATCATCATGAGCGAAAATCGCTTGTCCTTCGAATACCTCCTAGAAAACCGCAGAGTTGCCTATTTTCGAAAACTTTTCGATCCCGTGCGACATAGATTTGCTGGACGATGGCTGGGTGCTCGTGTCGCCGCCTGGAGGGTATCTTGGGCTCCATATCGGTGAGAAGACGCAGTACGTGGATATGAAAGTGGGATTGAACAAGACCATTGCTCATTTGCGATGCGGTGATATATGTTAATACGAGGTTGATTAAGAAGACATCGGGCAGGACGATGGCGACGATAATGACGGAGAAGAAGAAGAAGACGGGGAAGATGATAACGTCAGCGGCGAGGAGGAAGACGGCAAACAGGAGATGCAGAACCTTTTTGTAAGCGGTAAATTGAGAGAGTTGAGCCTGCCAAGTAAATTCTACTTGTGAATTAGACTGCAACTAATTTTCTGTTCTAAAGCTTCATTTGGTGATATTGCGTGAGCGTTGTGGATACATGTCCATAAGGCAGCACAATACTAAACTAAAGCAGAGGGTATGAACTACTCCACCTTCACGGGGCAGCCCTCCGAACTACTCCTTCGCTATCCTATCTTACCCAAAGTACTGATCAGACGTCTCCAAATTCTTCAATTGGACACGTTTTCACGTCTAACAACTGTAGCTCAAAAACGTCCCGGGCCAATGCGCCGCCCCTCACCACTTGATCTGGAACTTCGGATTCGTCCGAATCCGCTCGCCGTATTTATAGAACATCCACGGAAACGGGCACATAGCAAGGGTCAGAAACCCGAGCAGCGAGTTCCCCCAGCCCAGGCCCATGGTGGTATACATGGCTCGTCCAGCGAGCGGGAGCAAAGCTCCCCCGAGAGAACGGACGGCCACAGACGCCGCGACAGCGCTGGTTTCGTGGAGCGGGTGCGCGTCGATGAGGTACGTCACGACGCACGTCTGTTGAGTATGTATCAGCCCTGCCCGTCTGGCCAGATCATGCGGGATGAAACTCACGAAGACGATGTTCAGCGCAAATCCAAGCAGTCCGGTGCCAACGAGCGGCACGATCCAATGCGCCTTCTTCTCGGCAGCCCAGCCGTACCAGAACAAAGCAATTGGAATGGCGAAGCAGGTTGGGAAGAGCGGGGGTAGTCGGTACTCGGGTTTCAAGACGCCTCGCCCTGCCAGCCGCTTCAGAATCGCGTCCGAGATTAGGCCGCCGAATACCTGCGCAATAATGGAGCCGGTGCCGATTCCAAGAAATGCCAATCCTACTCCACCTTTTGAGAAGTGGTACCGGGTCTGGAAGATGGGGGGGAAAGTTGTGAACAGTAAGTATAAATAGCCATAGCTGATTGCCTGGTAGATTGACAGGATGGAAACGATTGGCGAGAACAGGAAGAGGCGTACGGCGCGTACGATACCGTAGACAAAGACCTTGGAGGTGCGTTGATTTGGGTCGGTGTCGTATACAGAGTGGAAGCTTTGAGTCCTAGCGCTCTTTCGGAGGCGTGCGACTTTGTTGCCTAGTATTGTTGGCGGGTACGTCTCATCCAGGAGCAGCAGAGAAACCAATGCCCCGAATCCGGCCTGAGCTAGCCTGTTAGTATTCAGCTGATCGTCAAAGAGGCATGAAAAGCTCACAGCAATCACAATCAGCCAAAACACCCATCTCCAATCCGCATGCTGGCTCAAAAACCCACCCGTAATCGGCCCAATGATGGGCCCAACCAGCGGCCCAACCGCCCAGGTAGCAATCATCGCACCCCGGTTCTCCTGCTTGAACATGTCCGCCAGCGAGCCAGCACCGATGGTGATCGGGCATCCGCCAAACATCCCCGCGAGGAAGCGGAACGCGATCAGCAAGCCCAGGCTATTCGAAACCGCGCAGCCGACGCAGAAAACGGCGAATGAGATGTTGCACATGTGGTAAATTGGGGCGCGGCCGTACAACTCGCTCGCCGGGCCAAGGAAGAGCGGGCCGAAGCAGTAACCAAGGACGAAGGCGGAGACGACGAAGGAGGCGAGCTCGGCGCTGGTCGAGTGGAAAGTGTCCATGACGTCGGAGACCGCGGGCGCGAACATGGTTGAGCTGAATGGTCTGGGCAAGTCAGGCTTAAAATATCTCGGGTGGGGAATGGGGCCGTGACTAACGTGAGAAAGGAGAGGTAGCAGATTATGGCGAGGTTCTTCGCTTTCTTGCGCAGTGGCCAATTGACTGGCTTTGCCGGGTCGTCTGGCCCATCCCAATCTACGCAGGTCCCGTCTATGCTGCAGGTTTCGGAGCTTGAGAACGGGCGTTCCGATATCATTGTTGGTTTTTGCTTCTCCGCTTCTTCGGCGGACTCAGAGGAAAATGTACACGCTTCCGTGATGTGCCGGACGGGCTTTGTGGATCCAATTCCTGGGATTCGCATTGGGCCGAGACAGGCCTCAGCTATTCTGAGGCCCAAGGACCTGCTTGGATCATGTGGGAATGCGTCGGTAGGCATTGGGCTGGAAGTTCACAAGGCCGTGGAAGGCTGGTGGGGAGTGTGTAATGGAGAGCGAAGAATAGAAGGGGCATGACAGGCGGACCATGGTATATATATATATATATATATTGACGTTGAGCGGCTAATGGTTGGATGTTCCAGACTGTCAGTGAAGTGGTTCCAAGGTTGGCTTGAGCAGGGGGTCAGACTTCGGGGTTCGCCCTTACCAGGGCGAACGAAGTGGCTAGGAGGAATGAGTCGCCGAGGACTGATGTTCTCATTTAGATGTAGCTGGCAGTTTTATGTTGTTATTGGATATGTCAATGTGGAGTATGATGCTGCGAAAGAGGGTATGGTGGGGGAAATCGCATGGAGTCGGCGTCTGCCAATCAGGATGCGAGAACCGCGTGACCTGATCGGGTATTTGATGTCCTCGACCATACTGTGTCCAAATCTTCGTAATTCTCACCATTCTAATCAAATATTGCGTGTAGCAAATTTCGCCTTAGAAGGAGACTACAGCAGTGTCTAGAGAGTGTCGTAATAGAAACATATATCGATACGCCATAACAAGACCTGAATCTCATGTAAGCGGGACGGACGAAGATTTGCTAAAGTACACCCGGAAGCGTTTGGACAGAATGAGGTCCTTTTAAAGCTCGGCATCGACAAGAAAGAACACAAGACTCACAGATTGAATTATCATTCCTTTCCCTTTGGTACCCTTATTTCATTCGCCTTCTCCGCCTCCCCATAAATCAACCTCAGCACCCCCCTGTTCCACCCCACCATGCACACTGCCGCGAGCACCTGAAAGCCCAACGCACCCCCGATGAGCGCGTAGTAAAGATAATCATGCTGTTTCTCCCACGCAGCCAACCCCAGCGGAACACGCGCATTCGCAAAGCCAAGACTCCACCTCGCAGACCAACAATCGCAACTATTCCACCAACCTGAAAAACGTCAGCTGCATTCAAAGATCTCCATATAAACTCAACAGACCTTTAAACGCTAAAAACAAAATCAGCGTCATCGGCACCGCAAAAACCGCATCCTTAACCAACACCACCACAAACAACCCCCGCGCTCTCCCATCTTTCTCCTCCCCTCCCTCTCCCCACCTCCCACCGCCTCTCCCTCCCCTACCCCACCACAAACACACCCCCTGCGTCATCAAAAAGTTCACACACCACGCCGCAAAATACCCAACCTCAGTCACGGCCCTACACCCCAACCCTCGCGTCGGCGTAACCACACTCATCACAAAACTAAACCCCCACGCGCCCGCCACAACCGCAAACGCGCTCCCCAGCATCCCAACGTCCTCCCAGCACCTCACCCGCTTACGCGGCCGCCACGTATACACGGCCCCATTCCACGGCCGCGGCGTCCCCAGCGCCATCTCCTCCCCTTTCAGCTCCACCTCCCTCGTCACCAGGTTGACCTCGCGCACTAGCGGCTGCAACGCCACGCCTGCTGTCTTTTCCGTCGGCCACGCGCCCGCGGCGCTGCTGAGCGCGATGGTGGGGATGAGCCAGTAGTACAGCTCGCGTAGGGCGATGGTGTGCGGGAAGTGCGTTGGGGTGCTGGAAGCAGCGGCGCCGCTGGCGACGGAGGTGAAGAGGGGGTAGGCGTAGGCGGTGACGGCGAGGGCGGCGCGGCGGGCGCTTTTGATGCGGGTATGGGTTAGGAGGGTTGCGGTGTGGGCGAGGGTTTCGAGGAGCTTCTCGCGGCGGTGAGGGGGGAGGGCGGGGTGGTGGAGGAGGTGGAGGAGGGTTAGGATGGAGGGGGAGGGGGAGAAGTCGTCGAGGGCGAAGAGGACGATTTGGAGGTTTTTGAGGGCGTGGGGGGTGAGCGGTGGGGCGCTGAGTTGAGTTGATAGGCCGCGGAGGGTTATGGTGATGTTGCCTTTGGCGGTGGCCATTGGGACTGGAGGGTGCGACGGATGACTGATCTGTTCATGGATATATGCCCTTGTTTTCTTCGCGAACGCTAGTTTATCTAGCAGACTCCATATCGTATCGATTGGATCGGCGAGGAGGTGTAGTATGACAAACGCGTAGTTGAAGAGTAGACTGCGGCCTCCGTTCACCACAATTCGCCGAGCCGCATACCACCATCGCTGATCTGGGATTTTCTTGTAGACGGCGACGTCGAAGTGCGAGAAGTGCATGTTGCCGACTAGTACGAAGAGAGGTACCACCCAGGTCAAGATGCTAGTAAGGGCGTCCCACTTGTCGTACGACGCCCAGCCCGTGCCGCATAGAGAGTAACACTGCGGGAGTGTCATCTCAGTCATATTCCGGGAGAAGTTCGTGGAGCATGCTGTTATGCCGATGAAGCTGCCTTGGCTAGGGAATGCGGACGTAAAGGAGTGGAAAGAAGAAATGGCTAGCATAATTCTTGCGAAACGAGGCGCCATGACGGCTAATTTACACAGGGAGACAAAATATATCTTGGATGAGAAAGTTACTCTTTGATCGTTTTACAATTGAGAAAGGCAGATTGGAGGTAGACGTTCATGTGATGAATTCAGGGTACGAAGCAATGAAATAGGCAACAAATCATTCTACCGACATTGGGTTCGGTCAGAAATGGCCGCGTGGACATGAGGGATGGTCCATAAATGCAAAGAAATCGATTTCCCAAATAGGTCACCACCAGCTGATAAGGAAGCGACCGAAGGCTTCCCGATGTTCCGGCTTCAGCCTTGTGGTGATTAGCATGGCTGGCCAGTCGCTGGCCACTGGGCCATCCTAGAGATGGGAGCGCGTACGTATCTAACCGAGCTGTTTCAACTGACAGGGTGCTTAGCTGGGATGGGATACTCTTGCATGAGGAATGAAGTCAGTGGGGCGTCCATGGTGATGTTGGTGGAAGGTTGGCGACATCTTAGCTACAAGCGCTAGCCGTTTTTGAAAAAATTGGCAGCTCAGCCTCGACTCAGCCTTGTGCTATCGACAAGGGAGAGCGCCTGCAGGACAAATATCCGAGGCTGAATATGTGGCGTCTGGAAAGCCCTGTTGTCAAGAGGTCATGGGGTATTGTAGACTATCAGCCTAGCAAATGTGTCAAGGTGTTGATGTGGCCGGCGGAAGTAGGAGACATGAGCAGCTATCGGAAAAGATAAGTCTTCAGAGCGGTAAGTAATTACGCCGTGAAAGAGCGTGATTGTGTCTTGAAGAACTGGTGCCGCTTTGGCGCATTCTTCACGACTGGCCTCCGAGGACTAGATGGTCAATTGCTCTTTGGATCCAGATCGGCACTCACCATCTGGTGAATTCTATTAGTGGTATCTTTAATGCAAATCCGAACCTCCCAAACACCACGCTAAACATCAAATAATTCCCTATGCCGGCATTTACTCATCAGCAGCAGCTTCTTGTTTCCGGATCTGATCTTCTAGACGCCTCTTCTCAGCTTGCTTCAACCGCATCATGGTGACCTCTTCCAAACTCGGGCTTTGCGGAGAAAATGAAAATGAAGGGGTACCAAGGCCCGCGCCTCCTGGGCGAACGCCTGGGAACGATGAGCGGAATGACTTTGGAGTTGACAAGGGTGTAGATGGCGCGGAGACTTTGGGCGCAGGAGGTGACTGAATACCCGGAATGTCCGGTTTCTTCCACCACGACACGGAGTCCAAAAAGGGGTTTTTCTCTTTCGCGTCTTCCACAGCGGCATGAGCGGCCACGATGGAACTGAAGACGATGAAGCCTGTCGCCATAACGCTCTTGTGTTTCGTAGCATCACTCCTGCGCACTTTCTTGTCTTTCCTGACCCACACGCTGTCCGTCTTGCCGAATTTTGAGAATATTTCGGCCAGTTTGGTTTTGTCTATGGCTACCCCAGCGCCTTCTCGCAGCCAGCAAACCTTGACGGTGCGGTTTTCGTCGGGGACTTCTGATGGACTTTTCGGAGGTGGTGCGGTGTCAGACTCCACTATGGACGACTCCTCGGGCTCTTCTCCTTCCTGCTTCTTTCGACTTAGCATCTCCTCCCTCTGCATCCTCCGCCTCTTCCCATCCTCGGCCAGCCTCCTGATCTCCCTGGCCAGTTTCTCCTCGGCATCAAAGTCGTCGTTGCGCTTTCGCTTGAACCCGTTTTCGCGCGCCTCCAGATCCTCCTTCATCTGCCGCCTCTTGCCATCGAGGAGCTGGTGCTCGAGCTCGCGCTGCCTCTTCTGCTGTCGCAATCGGTCGTATAGGGCCTTCGCCTCAGGATCGAGGAGCACATCGCGGGCGATTGCGAGGAGGTGGAACTTCTCAATGACATCGAGCTTGCCGGGATTCTTGTCAGGATGGTACTGAAGTGAGGTCTTTCGGTAGGCGCGTTTGATGTCGGACTCGCTGGTCTCGTAGGCGACGCCGAGCAGCTCGTAGAAGTCGACGTCGGCCGTCTTGGCGTGGTCTTTGAGGTCTTCGGAACTCATAGTAGCAGGTATCGCGCAGGCCGCAGGCTGCAAGAGCAGAGCGCGACGTGGAGTTGTGTGTTGATTGTTGTGGTGGCAAGGATGGTGAAATGCTGTGAGTCGCGAAAAGGCTACGGCGGCAGGCGGCAAGTTCCGGGCAGACCCCGGAAGCCTCAGGCGTTATGCACAAAGTCGTCATCGCATGACTTTCTGCGTCTCCGCATCGCATCGCATTGCTTCTCCACTGCGGCCACTGTCTGCTCCACGACATCATGCCATCGAACAACCACAGCTTCGTCTACCCCCACTACCTCCTCCGCGCTCTCTAGCATGAGTCTCCTCTCTGCCAAACGCCCGCTCGACCTCTGCTCCTACCTGCCACCGCCAAAGTCCCGCCGAACAGACGTCCACCTCTATCAGGCATTGGACCGCATTACCCCACTCGCACGACCAGATTTCTACAGTAACCCGCCTTTCCGCGTCGGTCCTCGGCTTATGAATGGGAATCAGCGGTCTCAGCAATCTCAATCACCTCAGCCTCCCCCGCCACCTCCAATCGCCCCAAGCCGTGATCTCCCGAATGCCGTTTCCGATGAGAATGAGGACGTCGAAATGGGCGACGCCCCTGCTGAGACGACAAAGCCTCTCGATTCAACTGATGCCGACGCCTATTCCCGCCTCCTCCGTGCCTCGACAACCGACTTCTTCCGCGACATCCAACCCGGCTGGGGATATTCGTCCATCACTTATCGGATGAAAGATTTTATAAAGGGCGTCTGGCGACTCGCCCGCCTGCCCAATGGTTACGAGCTCGCTTGCGAGACCCTCGTGTGGTTCAGCATATCCGTGCTCCATCGATTCGATTCGCCTTTCGTCCATATACTCAATTCGCAGCGTCAGAACATATATTTCCTGCTGGATGATGCCATGTTGTATATCGCCCTGGAATGGTGGGAAAAGAGTGCTATCTGGGATGTATGGACCGTAGTGAAAGATATCAGACTAGGCTTGAATGCAGGTAAAGTGGAGTGGTGGGAGCGTGGGTCGTACTTCGCTAAGTCACTCGAATTTCTTCTCGAGAGTCAGAAGGTGTTTGATGTCAGGACCATGGCTCTGCTGGTAGCTGGACACCGACTTCCACCGGAGCTTACGGACCAGGTGTCTGGATATCTGCTATATCATAAAGGGCTACCCCTAACGGACGTCAAAGCGAAGCACGATTGGAGGAGCAATGTTGCGAGAGCATCAGCGGCGCCAGCAGCTTCTTTGAGTGCTTCCAAAGCTAGGTTGAGATGATAAAATGGCAAGATACGTTGGTGATGCATTATGGCACACACGACACTACTTTCATTACCATTCTCGGGGCACATACTACGATATCACATTTCTTGTATCCATCACGGAGTCTTCATAGGACTCCAACATATTAAGTATTAATTTATATGTCTATATGACTGTATCACGTTCACTTTTCTTCTCGTCAAATTTTCGTCAAGATCTATGCCCAGCTTTTACACTCTGCATTTTATTTCCCACTCTTGATCTCCTTGGTGATCTTCTCCGCAATCATGTTCACATTGCTATGTAGATGTCCCCGTAACCGAATCGGGAACATACTCGTGTCCACCGTTCGCGATCCAGGTACGCATTTCGATTTCGCGTACTTATCAACCACAAGCAGAGCATCCATCGACCTACCCATCAAGCACATGCCTGACGTATGCCACATCTGTAGCATGCTCGCGCAGGCATATGTGAGCAGCTGTAATGTGAAAGTGAGAATAGGTATGAAACAAGGGTCAGACTCCAGCGGATTAAATCAGATGTCGGAGAATCAGGGTGCGTAAAGGGGTACGTTCCGGTCGAGAAGTGGCGCCGCGCTTCTGAGGAAAGGAAGCTATTGTCTACTCATGCCCCTCCTTCAAGGGCTGGGACCTGGAGAGGTGCCGCATGTTCAGGCCCCGTTTTGAGGGGTGAGATCCCTCCTGGAGTTTCTCGAAGCCAGGACCCGGCTTGTGCGTCCCTTCTAACCCTTCTTAGTTCCTGGGATTCTCTCCATGACCACTTTTCATTCCCGCAACGCCTCATTTTCATTTCTTGTTCCGTCCTACGGGTTGACATACCCGGCTCTACGACCATGGTCATTTTCATCATTAGCTGCTTCTATTGGAAGACTCCTAGAAAATTTCATGTCTGCATCGATGACTGGAGCATGTCCGCTGTGTGGGTAAGCTGGACTTAATGAAATAGGAGCGTGTAGCACCCAGTCGCCTATGTTGGCTTTTTGGATGTAGATGTTCGCGATAACTGTATCCATTTGAATTGCTATTCGGTAACATATTCGGTCGGTATGCACCTCTGGGGCATGAGATTGGTATGGCTTCCAAGATCTCGAAAGTCAGGTCTTTTCTGGCCGGCATCTCGTACTAATGTCATCTAGTCTGGCTTCTAACATGGGCATTACAGTCGGCGATTGTGGTACAAGTCTTTTACTCGATTTGCGCTGGCCTGACGAAGGTTTCCATCGGTCTCACGTGCCTAACACTCGTTCCTTGGCAGATCAATAAGAGATTCTACATTATCATGTTTATTGCTCTCACTCTATAGACTCTGTCGACGACTACTATAATTGTTGCCTACTTTGTGACACGATCTCTTACGATACTGCCGTTTGCCGTTATCCACGAACACTTACGTAGATCCATTGAGGACCTTAGTATACCAGCATCAGAGAAACATTGCATCAATAAAAGAGCAACGTCATTTCGACCGCCGTAACGAATACTGTTACTGATCTGTTGGCATACCTCTGGCCGGCGCGATACTTGACGGGCGTCCAACTGCCTAAGGCGGACTGATACGGCCTCATGTCCTCGTTCTAATTCGGGTCACTATAAAACTGCCCTCTCTTTCCGGCACGCTTCAATCCAGATTGGTATGCGCAACGTCGTTCGGGCCATTGACAAAACGACCAGCACGTGCGTAGCAAGTGTCTGTTATATACAGTGCCTGCAGTTATACGATATCGGTTGCGAAGGAGCTGTCGTATACGTGATGCACACTATCGATATGAGGTTTGGTATCGTCTAGGCTTCCGCGATGAGTCTCAGAGACCGATTGGGAAGTCTGGGATACTAATGGTGCAGTTATGCGCAAGCTTTTGGGTTATCCTTTTCTGGGATTTGGTCACGATTGGAAGATTTAAGATGGATGTCCGGATAGTAAACCTATGTGGTGTTGAGGGGGTAGCATCACGTAAGGGGCACGTGATAGCTTCTTGGCGGTGAGAACGGGTTAGCTCCTGGCTACCTATAGACGACTCATGGGTGGTCCAACGCAACGCCTGCCAAGAATCAATCAGAGGCGCGAAAGCAGGTCAGCCTCGCGGTAGAGTGATGAAAGCCACGTGATTGATTACTCGCCTAGACCTTCAGCATTCAACCTCCTCATCTCACCATCTCACCACCAACCCCGTCAATTCAAGCACAGTGGCATCATCGACCCTGTTTTGGCTTCTCAGAGACATCAGATTCTACTTCCCAAAAAGAAATTGGCCGAGATGCAGGTGGTAGGCATGCATGTTTAGCTATCGTCATAGATCCATGGATCTACCTTACTAGGTAAACCACTCCATGCCCCTCTCCAAGCGCGTATCATATCAACACCCCAGCGACATCCCGCTCTGCATATCCGACTCGGGGAGCCGTGGTGCGTATCGCTGCATCTCAGCAACGAGCGAAGAGTAGATTGCGGAGATCGATCCGTCTTGCTAGCGATGAATGCAGCTGTCACTGGAGTCTTTCCTACACGCGCTACTGGAGCGCCATCAAAATTACGTCCAAATGCCTAGCTGGTACCATGATAGAACAACGGGGCGCACCTGCCGCGATTCTCTCTAATAATAATCATTTGGTCGATCAGGTCCGGGTCACCTGATCTTGGAAATAGTTTCATCTTCGATTCGAGTCAAGAATATACTCTACGTTCAATATAAGATTCTATACCATCTATCTGTCAACCCAGAGCATCCACTCCATCGCCATCTCCATCCACCTCTCCATCCCCCACCACCACCCCACCATGTCCTCAAACCCCTTCATCCAATCCATCGCAGGAACCTGCATCTCCATGTCCTACATCCTCGTCGGTACGCCCGTCCCCCTCCTAACCCAACCCCCCTCCTAACCAGCATCACTGAGAAAACCCCCCCTCCCTCCAGGCAACGCCATCACCCAATCCTTCATGACGGTCCCCGCCCTCCTCGTCGACTTCCCCCCCGCCAAATCCCCCGCCCACGCCGCGCGCGCCCAGCTGCTCGGCCGCCAGTGGCCGCTCTGCTGGACCGTCGGCAACCAGTTCTTCCGCCCCATCAGCATGCTGGGCTTCCTGGGGTACGGCGCCATCGCCATGTATCTGTATCGCCAGTCCTCCACCCTCGCGGCCAGGGGCAACGCCGCGCAGGCGGACTGGCGCGTGTATGCGGTTAGTGCGCTGTGCCATTTGGCGACGATTGTGCATTCGGCGCGGAATATGCAGCCGCTGAATGATAAGCTGGAGGCGCTGGCCGGGAGGGCGGGGGCGCAGGAGATGGAGGAGGCGGAGGGGGTGGCGCGGCGGTGGGCGAGTTGGAATAGGGTTAGGATTTTGAGTCCGCTGGTTGCGGGGAGTTTGGCGCTTTGGCAGAGTTTCTTTTTGTAGATGTGGGAGGGAAGGGAGGTTAAGGGGGCTGAGTGGAGGAGGGTGGAGGGTTGGGGGGGAGAGTCGTGCGTTGGTTTGTGTTTCGACGTATTGAGTGAGGAATTCTTGGCTAGTACGTGCTCGTTGTGTGCACAATATCAAGAGTTTATATGAGTCGTACAGAAAAATGTCTTCAAATGTCTAAAAACCCTAATCAAAATCATAAACCCTTCGCTATCTAAGCCTTCTACCTGTAGCAGTTAAATATCCCAAAGTTATCAACTTCAACACCACCTCACCCTTACTCTTCCAGAGTCCTCTCCTTCGCCGTCCCAGCTAACAGCCTCCTCAATTCCTCCGCAAGCTTACTATCTACAAACTCTCTCACTGCCTTCACCGCCCACCCCCCCTCAAACTGCCCCAGCTCGATCCAAAACACTGCCTCATTCCCCCAAACTTCTAAATCTCCCAGTGCCCGCCCTTTCACTTTCCCGCCCATCTTAACATGCAGCACCACGGTGCTCTTGGCCACATCCTCAAAGATGCTCTGTGGCACGATATCCCACGTCGTGAATAGCGAAAAGACGCGCCCGGAGTGCGTCGTAAACTCCTCGAGGTTCCTTGACGGCAGCGCAAGAGAGCTCGGCGAAACAGAATGCGTGAAGTCTGGCGTGCAATGAGACGTCACGATCCCGGGGGAGAGCGTAGAGAAAGCTTTGAGAAAGTCTAGCGCTGCTTGGATGAGCGCAGAAGGTGGAGGTTCAGTCGGGGGAGGTTTGGAAAGCTTCGAAGCCGCAAAGACATGGCCGTTGTAGGGCGTCGCGACTGTCATTTTCGGCGCGGTGGCTGCTTCGGTCTCGGTAGTCGTCGTGCTTTGTGTAAGGCTTTCTGTGGCCATCCCGAAGACCTGCTGATATTGCTAATATATATGTACGACGTATGTACGAAGGCGTGTACGAATGCTGAGATGTCTGCGACCGTCGTGCGAGTGTGTGGTGTCGGTGCTTCCTCCGAGCCTCCGGTGGACTAGTCCTAGAGATATGGCCGGATTTGGGTGAGTGATTCCATTTTGGCGTCCAAACACCAGGCTTTCGGTTCTCCACCACGGTTGTGAGTAGCTTGGGGTGTCAAGGATGTTGGTCTGAATATGCCGGGGGATATTGGCCCGACGACGGCGCAATGCATGGTGTTTGGGTGGTGTGCATCAGACAGCTGCATCAGAAGTGGTGGTCTAGATTGACATTAGCACCATTCCTAGTGGCGGGTATGCAGCTCTAGCGCATCGCGTATCCGGGTCGTGAACGTCACGACCTAGAGATGCAAACGGTTGGAGACTTACTACAGTATAGTCGTTCTATACCACTTGGAAAGCCCGACTCGATGTGGAAGCGGGAATGAGTGGCATACACACCCTGGATAAGCCTACTTCTCAGACATAGTGATGGCATACTCAGGGGGTTGGGAATTGCTCCGGGGAAGACTAGATACCGCGGTTTCAAGCAGCTTTCAAGGTATTATGATAGGTTGGTGATAAGTGCCCCCAGTTTAGATATCCTTAAGCTTTCGACAATGTCTCTCCCTGCTAGAGCTTTAGGGGCACGCCATGCGATGCACCTGAGACGCCATTGGCATGCACCTTGCAGACGGTCACAGCATGGTTCTCCGGGGAGCTGTCCAAATGTACCGGGGTGTGCTTACAGCCGTAACTATCGGCACTCCGGGCTGTTCGTGAGACCGACCGATCTGCCCCGTGGGCTTCGAGACTGCAATGATTTCAAAGCTTACTGCATAGTTACCAGAAAACAGCCTACTTTCCTCCCAGGACACGGCATATTCTTGCGAAGCAGGGAAGACGGTAGAAAGAATTGAGAAATACTAGGCCCGAGTAAACTTGACAGGTAGTGCCCTGAGTGATAGAGGTGAACGACAGTCAATCTAGCGTGGCAATATGCCCGAGCAGCATTTGACAGATCGCCGCGTGCATGAACGCATGAATGCATCCGTAGCGTATAACTCACTGCACACCTATTCCCTGAATGTCTCACGTTGAGCCTTCCCGCTCTAAAGTAGACCTTATCACCACGTCCAGCTCTTTCCGTCGTCTCCCAACCTCAATCATGGACACCCCAAAACCCATTCTTATCACTGGCGCAACCGGCAATCAGGGGTCAGCCGTCATCGCTGCCCTACACGCTGAAGATGCTTCACGCTCTGAAAAGAAATTCCTCCTCTTAGCCGTCACCCGCAACGTCTCCTCCCCCGCTGCCCAGAAACTCGAGCAGAAGTACCCCGGCCTCAAACTCGTCCAAGGCGACCTCAACGCCATTCCCGAGATCTTCACCCAAGCCGAGAAAGTCCTCGAGCAAGCCAACCACGGCACCACCAAGATCTGGGGAGTCTACTCCGTCCAGATCTCCATGGGCACGGGCGTGACCTTCGACAGCGAAATCGCGCAGGGGACGGGCCTCATCGACGAGAGCATCACCCGCGGCGTGCAGCACCTCGTCTACAGCTCCGTCGACCGCGGCGGCGACAAGGTCTCCTGGGACGCCGAGACCCCGATCCCGCATTTCCAGAGCAAGCACCGCATCGAGCACCACCTGCGAGACACGGCTGGGGCCAAGGGCGGGAAGATGAGCTGGACGGTCCTGCGCCCGGTTGCGTTTATGGAGAATCTGCTCCCGGGCATGCCGACGAAGGTCTTCCTGGCGGCGATGCGCGACACCATGGGCGAGAAGCCGAACGAGTGGGTCAGCGTGGTTGATATTGGGCGGTTCGCGCAGAAGGCATTCACGGCGCCGACGGACCCGCGGTATTTCTGCACTGCGATTGGGATTGCTGGGGCGAGGTTGACGTTTGCGGAGTTGGATGCTACGTTTAAGAAGGCTACGGGGAGCGGGGCGCCGGCGACGTATTGGGTGTTTGGGAGTGTGCTGATGCGGTTGGTGAAGGAGGTTAATTTGATGCTTACGTGGTTTGCGACGGATGGGTATGGGGTTGATGTTGAGGACTTGAATGGGAAAGAGGGCGTGATGGACTTTGAGACTTGGCTGAGGGAGAGAAGCGCGTTTGTGGAAAGGGGTGAGAAGTGGGTTGATCCGTTGAAGGGTAATGGGAATACGGTAGCGATGAAGGGGTAAGGCTGTGCTAGAACGCCATAGAGTCCGTGGGGCGGATACTCGACGACGTTTCATGGTTATGTAGGTCGCCTCAAAGGTGGTTCCGATCGATTTCTTGAGTGCTGGTACTGGGATTGATGCGTACCACGTTCCATAATAGTCGATGCTAGCGACGCTCTTTTATTAATAATATATCTTCCGGTTGTTTGCACCTAATGAAGAACGAATTGTGAAAGTTTTGTAATAGCAATGTTGTTCGTTGTCAAATCTAAAGTTCAGTGGCTCTCGTTTCTCATTTAACTAGCCTTCCTTTATAACATGTTACCTTTACAAGATAGTTAGTAGCTTGACATGACATGAACGTCTAGAATATAAAGCAGATTTTTCGCGCCGGACACTCTAGCAATTGGCACGTGACAGCGGCGTACTAAATCCATGGTGCCGTCATCACTTTTCTGGTTTGCCAACTTTGAACTTGCATCTGCACAGCTTCAAGAACATCAACATTTTGGAATCTTGTCTATGTGAAAGACACGGGAAGCCTGATGATCTCAGTATGAATCAAGACCCAAGCACCGCCTCGCATCCATTTCTCCTTCACCTAGCAAGCCCAAGAGCGCAGACCTAATTCCAATCACCCGGACCCAGGTCAATCTCCTTCCCGTTCCTCATATCCTCCATAATATCCTCGATATTCCATGGCTTGTACCTATAGCCCTTCGGATAATTCGGCGGGAACGAAGTCTCATCCTCCATCGCAACACCTGCCTTAATGCTCTTCACGCACTTGGCATAGTTCTCATGCGCGTACGCCTCAGGATCATGCTCCCAGACCCACTTTGGTAGACGCGGAGCTGCGCGGCGGGGGTTCAGCTTCACCTTGTCCCAGTCCGTGTCTTGGAGCAGCTCGGCGTTGGAGAAGCCTAGCTTCTGTGCGCAGGAGTTGCGGATGAAGCTGCGGTAAGTATCAGTACTGATGGACAACAGTATTATGGAGAGGAGACTCACCGGAATCGAATATGTGCACGCACGGAATCCGGCACGTTCTCAGCGCCACCGACCTGGAGACATGACGCTAGAGATATGGCATCTTCAATCGCCTGAGTGGCGCCATTTCCGGACGCCGGGAGGTAGGAGTGTGCGCTATCTCCTATTTGGATGACCCGGGCACCAGGAGAGCACCACTTGGGTTGGGGGTTGCGCCAGAGGAGCTCGAAGTTGATGATGGTGTCAGGAGGAGTGCAGTTGACGAGGTCCTTGAAGATTGGCGCCCATTTGTGTTTCTCCATGCCTGGCATCTTATCTAGACCATCGAGGACTTCTTTCTTGTCGATGGTGTGGTTCCAGCTCTCCGCCTCAGTTCCCGTGACCTGGGACGTTAGCGCTAATTATCGGAGGCAAGATCCGGGAGAATTACATCGTGGTTGACAATCCAGACCATCACGTCTTCGCGAGTGAGCGTCAGAGCGTATGTGGAAGGCCTTGTACGTGTTAGGATTGATTTCGGTGCTGCATAGCGCTCTTACAACTTACCCTAGCCATGTCCGCACGATTGGCTCGTTGCCGGGCATCATCTTGAAGAACTCCTTCACCTCCGGATTCTGGTCCAGATGCTCAATTGGGAATGCAGCACGCCACATAGCTCGACCAGAAGACCTAGCGCGAACCTGACCTCCAACGAGCTGCTGCGACTTCGAGCCCACACCATCAGCGGCAATCACGACATCAGCTTCGTACCGCTTCCCGTCCTCAGTGACACAGCCACCCTTACCGGTCTTCTCATCCTCGAAATAATCGACTACGCGGCGATTGAATTCTATTGGGATATTGAGTCGCTCAAGCTGGCGCACAAACATCTTGTAGATGAGCGGCCGCATCTGGAAGGTACCGGGGGGAGTCTTGGGGTCCAGGCCATCTGCCTTGAGCCTGTCGGCGACCTTCTTCGGCGTGATCACAACCTCGCCGGTATGCTTGAAAGTCTCAATCCAGGCATTGTGCAGTGAGATCTCGTCGTATTCCTTTGCGAGTTCGGGCCAATGCTTGAAGAAGCGGGTAGCGCTTAAGCCCATGAAGTACATGTCACCTGCAAGCTTGTTTAATGATATCCGAGGGTAAAGGTTAGAGTTAGTTGCGAGAGACACACTTACCAGCAGTGTTAATAGTTGCATTGCGCTCGAGGACTCTGACATTGTGGCCTTTGCGAACGCATTCGATCGCAGCCGTTAAACCTGCCAGGCCGGTACCTACGACTAGAACATCGATTCCTGTCTTTGGGTACTCTCCAACCCTTTTGGAAGACATGGCCGAGTCCTCGTGAGTGAGTGAGTGTGGCATCGTGACTGCAGTCTTGCAGGTGTGGTGATGAAGAGAGGTGTGTCGAAGTCAGTATCGCGGCACAGCACGCGAGGTGAAGTAGCTGGAGGAACCTTTCAGCGGTAGTGCTCTACTGCTGCGCCACTATCAGGCTGCATTCACTACTTCAAATCCGCTTGGAGTCGGCATGTCGGTCAATGCAGGTTGATGTCTCACGGGTTTTGCGGTGGGGTGCCGTTACCTCAGATGAGGCACCTGGTAGTTTGTTGTTGCCCAGAACGGGCGCGAGACGGCAGGTACCCGAGTCTCGCACGGCTCAACAGCAACACTCGAATCAGCTACCCATGCATTGACAGGCATGTGTTGTCAATTACGGCTTTCTTTGGGCCGATGAAGTGGTCATAGAGAGGGGTGTTGGCGTTGGGGTCATAATAAGAAGCTAGCTCTCTAGGCGAGGAATGCTACTACGGATCCACACAATCGACGCGGACCAGCCCGAGTGGCCCAGATGCCGTCGGGGGGGAATTATTCTGGGGGTGTTTTGATTGCAGTAGCGTATCTACACCGGGGTGGGGTTGCGGGCGGCCCCAGGGTTGTCCTGGGTAAGGTGGAGCCAGCATCATGAATTCACCAACGTCATCTGGTGAATCTCACGAGGTAGCGGAAACCCGACACATGTACGTCGCTCGGGTAGGGCTGCCCCTTAAATGCGCCACATACGGTACCAATCGGCCTTGAGTTTGAGGTAACAGAGAGTGCCGGAAGTCGCTCCTGCGTAAGCGTTGGACCCAACCAGAGCTACCATGTAAGAAGGGCGGCTTGGATACTGGTCATGTCGATACGCAAGGCTGACATGTGGTGCTTCCTAAGTACCATGGCGTCAGTCTACTAGAGGTAAGCGTGATAGGCAAGTCGCTGAATTCTTAGAGCCTATTCCAAAACATGGGAGCATGATATTTGGCAAATGTCGAGAGGGGGAGCGTAAACTAGACAATTCACCAGACTCTCCACATGACAGTGGGTGACAGCACTGCTAGCAACCCTGTGAGCTTTCCAAAGCCTTGTCCCAGCCCTGAGCGTTGTCGTCAACGACCCAAAACTGGAGACAGTTCGTTATCACAACCGCTCGAAGCTAAAAGTGACTGTCATCACTAGCTCTACCCCTGTGAAAGCTTCATGACCACACTTCCGCCTCTTTCATTGGCCTTACTTCTGTTGTTGCGCCAATTGAAACCCTTTCGATGCCTGGACAACGTACTTGGGGATTGCTCAGCCCATTCACACACCACCCGCTCCCGAGCCTTGCCACCGGCCTCTACATCTAGGTGGTATTCCCGAACGTCCCTATCAAAGTTCCTGCATGCCACGTCGATGCGGGAAGATAGGCTCTTCGATTTCAACTTGATCTTCGGGTTAGTGTTTATCGAGGGTGTCGGAGATAGGTCGCTGTTTGGCCCTGGAGCTCCCCGTAGCTGATCGCCTGATGATATCTCTGTGCAGCGGATGTATTTCAAGATCTAGATGCCCAGAGACCCCTCAAGGTCCCAGATAAATCTTGCTACACCATCGGGCTGTCATTTGTCCGTTTTTAAACACCTCGCGGATATTGTTTACTGCTGGCGAGTCGCATACCATATTTTCAGTTCCACGCATTGAGTGAATCTTCACTCTCTGCTCTTCGACAATCACTACGCGGCAGTTTGACACTTCTGTCTCGTCTGGAATTCACTATACGTCAACCGTCTCTCGTTAGCATACGCTCACTATATCGCCTCCTTGGTTGCACTCGACTCGTACCACATCACCCACCACCACCACCACCACCACCACCACTACCACCACCATGCATCCCGTCACAATTCTCATCGTTGCAGTTGCAATCTTCGGCGTTGCCATCTACGCCATCACCGACGCAATTACTCGTCGCAATGCCAAATTCAATGTTCAAGGAATGCCAGGACCTTGGATGATCCCCTGGGTCGGCCGAGTCCACGATCTCCCAATCAACTTCATGTGGCTGAAATTCAAGGACTGGGCCGACGAATACGGACCCATCTATCGCACAAAGATGCTCGGTGCGAACTTCGTTATCGTCTCAGATGAGAAAATGGCCGAGGAGTTGCTGGTCAAGCGAGCGAAGGTATATTCGGATCGGCCAGTGATCCGGTCGTTGTTTGATTCGAAGAGCACGCATGGTTCGATGGAGTACCTGCCATTGATGGGTAGAAATGGTAAGTAGACTCCCTTGCTGCTGTACTTTTCGTGCGTGTTCCCAATTGCTGCCACTTTTCTTTTATCAACGTTATATCACACACTCGGTCTTCCTTCCACACACTTACATTCGTTCGCAGAATACTGGTCCCGTCAACGAAAGTTCACCCACGCCTACCTCACCGAAGCCAGCAACGCACATTATCACGGCTTGATGGACTTCGAAGTGAAGCGGTGGCTTTACAATCTCTTGAAAGAACCCGACAACTTCTCTTTCTCCCTCGAAGACATGGCGTCCAAGGTCATGTGCCAGCTTACATGGGACGACCCTAGTTTGAGCGCTTACTGCACGAAGAGCGCATGGGGGCTGCTCACTCAGATGTCTCCCGCTGGTCCAATCACCAACGTGCTGACGCCATTGTGGCATCTTCCAACATTCATGAACCCTTGGAAAATCGCTGAGCGCAAGCGACACGACGAACAACAGGAGTGGTGGATGACGCGACTCCGGGAAACGAAACAGAAGATGGCAGAGGGGAAGCAGCGTCCGTGCTTCACGCGACAGTATCTCGAGGCTGCAAGCATTGGCCGTACGAGCAACATCTCTAGCGAATACGAAGCGTCGTCGGTCATCGGAATGATGGCGCTCGTGGGAATCTTTACTGTGGCAGGCCCGCTGTACTACTTCCTGGTGTGTATGGTCCATCATCCGCAGTGGCTAGAGAAATGCCAGAGGGAGATTGAGCAGGCTTGTGGCGAACGTATGCCTACGCTGAACGACTCCCCGAATCTGCCGACGCTGCGGGCGTGTATCAAGGAGGCTATGCGTTGGAAGCCGAATGTCCCTACAGGTAAGCTAATCTCGCCATCAACTTGGAGTTTCAGCCACTGACTACGATCCGTAGGTGTCGCCCACGAAGTCGAAATCGATGACATGTACAACGGCATGTTCATCCCCAAGGGCACCCGGATCCTCCCTCTCGACTTTGCTTTTCTACGCAATCCCGTTAAGTACCCAGATCCGGACAGTTTCCGTCCCGAGCGCTGGCTTGAAGCTCCTTGGCCTACCTTCCAAGTTCCCCTAACAAAGTTCCCTAACCTCAAGGGTATGACGTCCTTTGGGTGGGGTCAGAGACAGTGCCTTGGCATGTCCATTACGCAAGACGAGATGCTACTCGCTGCCGGCGGACTTGCTTGGGCTTTCAATCTCAAGCGCAAGATAGACCCGGAGACCGGGGAAGAGATTGAGGTTCCACTCGACAAGTCGAATTCACTCCTTATCGTCAAGCCAGATCCGTTTGAAATGGCGTTCGAGATCCGGAGTGAGCGGAAGAGGATGGAAGTCGTGAACCAGTGGAAGATTGCAGAGGCCGTAGACATCAAGGCTCGCGCCGACTTCTTGAAGCAGGCGGAGCAAGCGGATAAGCGTGAGAAGCGGATGACGTTTGGTCATGATCCGGCGTCTGAAAAGAAGGTCAGCCTGTTTGGAATTGCCACAGAGGTTGGTTGATGGTAATGTTTGTGGTCGTGTTTCGCGCAGATGTCAGGGCTTTGATTTCCGGTGTATGCAGTTTTTTAGAACTTGAAATACCAGGTAATGTCGGAATTGGGGATGAAGTAATGTAGAAAGGGATCGGGGTCATGTCGATACCAATGCTTGTAGCTTGGAAAGTACACAAATTGACAGAACAAACCCTACGTAGAATAAATCAGGGGGACAATTAAAACCTCTGCTTTGCGATGCAGAGCCAGCGAAGACCAGTGTAGTTGTAACTTTCACAGATGTATTTTTGCTACAAGTCTATACATAAGCGATGTTCCCGCAATGCCGTGTGATGGAAAATCGAAGGTTGAGATGAATTTGAATGGAGAAACGGGTGAGTCGGAGTTGTGCGGGGATGACGCCTCAGGCAGTAACGCTAAGGGAGAAGGCAGAAAGGCAGCGAGGCGCATTCCTACTCATCCTATCACAACGAGAATAAGTACAGGGCAAACCCGCCAGATCGTACAGCGAGGACATTGGTCAGTAACTTTCTACACCGCCGCCGCCAGAAGCCAGGGCTATGCTGGCTTGTCCTCATTGCCTCAGCGTTTCTCTTCTTTTCATCTTCTCCTTCTACATCACGATAGTTCAACGAATTACTATTCTTTCCTACTGTCTTCATGCCGATAAACTGAGAATGGACGCTGTCAGCGCGGGTGCCAGTGTTCTTGCTATCGTTGGATTCGCGCTGCAAGGCACTAAAATTCTCTACGAGAGCATCAGCGGCGTCAAAGACGCACCGCCGCGGGTTAAATCGCTGGCTTCAGCTGTCGCAGATCTCAAATCTATATTGACGCAACTTCAGTCGTGTAGGGCATTGACAGATCCCGACGCTGATCTACAAAACATTATCAGCCTCATCCAGGCTTGCAGTCGAGATGTACAGCGCTACCAGAAGAACATCAACAAACTCCAGATCATTCCCGCAGACGCGAAAGTTAAACAAGGCTGGAAAAGGCTCAAGACAGTCTTGAAGAAGGATGATATCAAGCAGGTGTGGCAAGAAGTGAACCACCACAGTACACTGCTTGGGGTTCAGCTGAATCTATTGCAATCGTAAGCGCCCATGTTTCGGAAAATGCCCCAACGAACGCTGATTGTCTCAACACTGTGAAGAAACACCACTGCGTTGTGTAAAGACAAAATTGTTGACCTTCACAATGCTTTTTCCGAGCAGGCCGTCCACGATCAACAGCAAAACACCCTTCTGCTGCAGCGAACCGAGGACGTATCCATCATCAACAGCAACCTACAGGGTTTCAAAGCATCGACGGTCGATCAAATACGGGATACAGTGACCTCAATTGCAGAGAAATTAGAGAACGCGCCCACTGGATTAGAAACCCGAAGCGAAGACATCTTCACACTACTCAAGGCTATTCAGGCCCAAATCTCTGGCTCTTCAACCCAGTCCAACGTTGCACAAGGGCCTTCGTCGCCGCGAAGGCAGACCCCACGGGACATTGACGATGAGCGATTTACTGATGAAGACTCTAGATTGCAGGAGAGCTTGAGAAGACTCTGTCAGCTTGATTTTGAAGAAGGTCGGACTTGGCGCGATGAAGAAGCGGATGGCATTATCGACGACCTTCATCTTCTTCTCCAATCAATATCATCGTCGCATCAACTCTCAAAGCGCAGTGACCTAGGAAAGCGCAAGATTGATACGACAGATCCAGACGAGTTCAACAACCGTGTCATGAAACGTCTATGCGGCATTATTACCGCATCGCAAAGTGTAGATGTCAATAAAGCCTGTATGTCGTTCCACTACGCTACGATCCATATGAGACCACGTAATAACATACAAGAAGTCCCTCGGTCCTCTCTAATCAAGGCCAAAAAGGTCATCCAAAAGCGCAAGAACATGGATGTTTCGACTACTTTGTACAAAGCAAACATTTCGATCACGGAAAGACGCATCACATCCGAGCATGATAGCAATACTAACAATGACGAGAAATTGGACACAATAGAAACTATCACAAGGATCAAGGCGTTCGTGAGGCACGGGGATCTCAACAACGTCCTCGTTGCCCAAATTCGCCAGTTCCGACTCTCCACTGGATTTTCCTGCCGAAACCCTTTTGTTTCCATTGGAAAGACCCTACCAGATGATTCTCCTATTTTCTCGGTAGTCAGGAAAGGTGATGTTGAAGAGCTTCAACAACTTCTCTCACGTGGTGAGGCCACCTTGAGAGATAGGGACTCTTGGGGAACCCCTTTACTGCATGTAAGTCTTGAGTCGTTCGGCGCTGGGCCTCTGTGCTTATATGTTATAGTATGCAATGGAACAGCCTAGCATGTGTAAATTCCTCCTCGAGAATGGGGCAGATGTTGATGAGGTGGCTTTTGCTCCGGATGACAGAAAGAATGCTGGGTATGTAGCATTCAACCCTGGCCTTTACAATGTCTCGTCATGGATTCCTAAACACTTTCTGGTCCCTACTTGTGGTGCCTCAAGGGAGTTCCAGTTGTCCCGAATCAAATTGAAGCCCAGCCTTTTGTAAAGCCGCGAGGCCACTCCAAGCAGCGGCAGAGGGGTGTACGCAGATTGGAACTAAAACCACTCGCCCTGGATGCCTGAAACCACCATAAAGTACCGCAAACAGTGGCAGGAAGTGTGCGGATATTCATGATGAGACACTATAACAAAGCTCTTGAAATAACCATAAATACAGATTAGCATTATTTCTTCCATGGACATACATGGGGTCGGATACCGAGCTTAAAGAAAGTCTTCTTGAATGCAAGCGACTGCTCTTGTATGCTGGTGCCGACCCTTCCATCCCTAAGGTGTGGCATGGCATAGATGGCGTAACGACTGAGGAGTCAAGTTCTTGGATTGAGGTTGTGGACACGGGAAGTCTGGTACCTGAATTGAACCTCAATCCACGTTTGCGTTTGCTAATGAAAGCAGGAGTATGTCAAGGCGATAGTTCATCTTGCGAGGCCATTCATTGACTTGAACCCGACATCCTACGAAGATACCAACCCTTTATTTCGGCTCGCGGAAAATTGTAGTGCTGGTTTTGACGCAACCAGATTCAAGTTCCTGCTCGACGCAGGCTCTAACATCCACGCTCGCGACGTAGGTGGAAGAACCTGTCTTCATATTGCTATCCGCCACGTTAAGGCATCACGGACGGAGAGGGAGTACGCCGCTCTCATTCTTCTGATTCAAAGTGGAGCAGATGTCTTTTCAACGGACTACCTCGGTAACTCAATCTCTCACAGCGCTTATACCTGCACCAGTGATAGTAGACGAAAAGGGTATCGAGGAGATCTTTGGGACGCCGTGCTCTCCTATTGTGGCTACGATATATCCGCAATACGGAAAGGATATCCTCGAAAAACCCCTCAATATGGGAGGGCTACTTTTATAGGGCAAGCCTGGACACGGGAACGTTTCGAACGGCTCTGGAAAGGACGAGAAGGCCAATGCCCTTACTATCACGACCCACCGATCTGGCGTTCACCATTGAGTCCAAATCCCGAAGACGACGCCAAGAAGTCGGCGCAAGAAGAGGACATTGCATCTGAAGAACTTAGAAAGGAGTTATGGGACTGGGGCGATATGGACTGGGGCGATATGGACTGGGGCGATATGGACTGGGACGATATGGACTGGGACAAGATGGAGGCATTTCGGGGACCAGATTGAGTTTCTATTTAGACCGCGTCTATCTGAAGCCGTGGATGATTCTGGTGGTCCAAAGATTGCGAAGGTCTGCAATTGTGGGTAGTGTGCTAGCTGCTTTAGGTAACTATTAACCCTATTGTGGAGCTCCTGGACGTCCTGGACGTCCATAGAGGTGTCTGGTGGATTGCGTGGATTTGGAGGCCTCATCCAGTCCACTCCAGTCCAATAACATCACTGAGAACCTTCCCATGACGACCTCTATGACATGTGCGAGGCGAGTGTTTCGAAACCGGACGTTTGCGAAGCAATGGCCTAGCAAGTAGATGATGACTTCTAACCTAATAAATCATGATAAGGTGTATGATAGGAATAAATCAGGCTCTTCCGGCCTAGCCGCTCTGGTGAGGAAGTACCGATCTTTTCGGCCGGAGGTGCTGAAGGAGAAGAGAACGATTAGGTCAATGAAGTGCAAGGGAGAACGCGGTAAAACATCAATAATTCCCTCTTATAGAACGCTCAAACTCAGATACATCTTCTTTCAATCATCAGAAACAAACTGCCAAACTCCACCCACCCCTTCCTTTACCTCACCGTAATCCCAACATCATGCAAAAATACCACCACCTTCCCCAACCGATTCAAACAACTAACCCCGAAATTCATATGCCCCACCGTCGCTCCCGCCACAAAGTCAAGCTTATATTCCACCCACGTATCCCACACTGCCACATCCTCTATATAGGAATCCCCCGTGTACCACGCGTACGCATTCACTGAGCACGGACTACTTTTATACGCTTTCGGCATATAGGACCACATATGGAACGTATACTTCCCGCCCACGCACGCATCAAACTCGCGGCTAAAACCCGCGCTGTTCGAGGCCGAGGGGAATGTCAACACGCCACTCCTCTTACCCGTATGCGCTTTCGCAGTCGTGATAGTGAACGTCTCATCCCCCTCCCCAAATCCCACATCCCAGATCTTAACATCCCCACTCTCAAACCCGCCATCAGAAATGGTCGGCACAACACTACAAACCGGCGGGCGGCCCAAACGTAACATCATCAACCAACACAACCATCCCCCCCGTATTCCGACAATCAACCGAAACATACACGTACGGAAACGCCGCCTCAACATCCTGCACCAGAAACACAACCTCCACCTGCGTCCACACGCCCGCCGCGGTCGGCGCGACCGTCGCGCCGGCGAAGACGCCGTAGCTGAACACGCACAGGGCGGCGTCGTAGCCATCAGGGATGTAGAACCTCGCGCTGCTGGTGTAGGCGCCGTCGCAGAGGCCGAGGACTGGCTGCATGATGGTGGCGGCGCCGGCGTGGGCGGGCCGTAGGTGGAGGCCGAGTTTAGGGAGAAGGTGGTGTCGGCGTTGGGGGATTGGTCGTGGAAGAGCCAGGTGTCGAGGTTGGGGAGCTCGAAGCTGGGGTCGATGAGTGAGAGGGTGGTGGTGCAGGGGCCCAGGGTGGGGGTGGGTTCTGGGGGTGAGCTGGTCATGGGAGCGGGAGGGGAGGAAGGGTCTTTGCCGAAGTAGATGTGGTCGAGGTAGATGACGGGTTGGGGGTCACTGGCACATTGGTAAATACCGATGTAGAGGTAGTCGTAGGTTGATGTTTCGATGTTGTTGGCTTCGAACTTGGTCCATTTTGTAGTGATGGTGCTGATATCGAAATCGTAGAAGAAAGTGCTGGTGCTGGAGGACATGTATAGCAGGCAACTGGAGACATTGTTGAGCTTGGAATCTGCTGAAAGCCACAATGATGCTTTCAAAAAATGTCGGGACGTGTCATCGGCGATGTTGTACTGAGATAGTAAGACGCCTGGCGACGCAACCCCAAACTCACCGACAGAGTCGTCGAACAAAAGAGCGGCCATTCTATTGCCGCATGGTTAAGAATCGGCTCAGTATCAAGTAAGTGCAATGGACTTACCCATTCCCAGAGTGCGTCGGATTCCCCTTCTTACCTGCACAATGCTATCATTCCCGGAGCCGTAGTAGGACTCAGCGTTCCAGGCCGTGATACCGTCAGGACATTCAAATCCTGGGTTGACAAGGGCGTTGCCAGCTCCAGGCAAGACCTGTCAAGCACAGTTTGGTTTCCTCGGAATGCATGCTTTGGCGCTGATATCGTCCATGTAAATACTGATAGGCAATTCAGATTGGCAGCTGATCCTGAATTGAATCGCCACCGGCCGGCCAGTTCCAGGGCTTTCAAAGGAGAACTTTGTCCAATCCGGGTTGAGAACGATATCGATGGACTCGTTCCTATTATCGGGGAATATGATCGTGCACTGACTCAGATCATTCGGCGCTTTGTAACGAAGCCACGCGGAGACAGTATAGGTATTGCCATATTCTATGGCAGGTATGGTAGTACTCAGCCAAGGGGTAGTATAGCCTCGAGGCAAGAAGAGATAGGCTTGTCCGGCTCCCGAATGTGATGGGCGTTTCTTTGAACTTTTGATCCAGAAGAACTGGGTATCGCTTCCGCCTAAAAAGTCCCAGCTCTTAACGTTCTTGTTGAAGTCGCCATTCTTAACGAGTTCGGTGGTTGTACAACCAGTTGTAGGATGGTGGTGTGGCCGCTTTGGATGCGGGCGTGGTCTTCTTGTATGTTTGTGTCGTTTCGTCGTTTTTGAGGCTCTTTTCAGCAATTCTGGTGGTGCCAAAGGCAGAGCAGTGGTAGGAGGTTCAACAGCAGGCTGAAACTCCACGTCCAAGGGACTCCCGGTGGCAGTGGCTAAAGATCTGGATACGAACGACAAAGCTATCACTGTACTACACGCGACGACGAAGCGCATTGTGACGTGAGTACCAAAACAGGAAGATCAGGAAGACGGCATTACTGCAACGGGGGAAGATGAAAGCACAACTTCTCCTACAGCCAGCAGCAATGACCACGAGACAAATACTCCATCCTAGTCCACGATCTAGATGGCCGAACGTATGGATAGGGCTTGTTTAAGCTCGACGCCAGGATCAGAGAGGCGCTGTTTCTGGCATTACACAGGTCACACAGAAACGATATGGGAAAGGCAGGGTCTGAGGCCGCCGCTTTAGAACCCACAGAGTATAATGTTTGGATAGCCAAGGGTTTGTTACGAGGTTATAGTCTAGAGGCGTGCGGCTCAAAACGAGAGCTGAAAAACTGCTGTAGTAGCCAAGCAAAGTAGCGCTTCATAGCTCAGCTCGATTTGCGTAACATTGCTCCTCGAAGCCCTGTCAAGCGAATGGAATTTCTAGATCCTAGGAGTGTGGCGGTGTGACTTTGCTACAACCTATTAAATACTGCAAAGACGGTTTGAGGCTATTGAAAAGGTGCGGCACGGATTGAATCGGTCAGCATGGTAAATTTGGGAGAATGGAATACTGGTTTGCACAAAAGGTTATATGAGTAAGTATAAGTATTTGAGAAGTCAAATCTTAATATGTCATGTGACTGACACGTGATGTGCCCCCATTTCCTTAAGATTCCATCGTCCTGTTAAAGTTTTAAGGTGATGTTTGATCTACTGTTAGCGGCGCACCGTCGTTGAACTTGTCAGAACTCTATTGCATAGGGCTGACTATCCCAGATGCGAAAAGCTCGCCCCTTTCTCTCACCCACGCTATTTCCTCCCACTCACTCATTCTCAGCGTTCATAGCTGTCCCCAAGAAATACCAGGAAAGGTTACATCTTAGCTTGAGTCGCATCTCGGGCCTCTAAAGAGTCCAGGTCGACGCCCTGGAAGACCCCAAGCTACATGAGCCTAAGGGACTTTTGCATCAGACCTACATCTTGCGCTAGACTTCCGGAAGTCAGCTGACTGTATTGATCACGGCTGAACGCCATTGCCTCGATGTAAGAGGTAGCAGACTCGATGCGGGAAATAATGGGGTATGCATGGTGTGGGCGGAGAAGTGGAAGTGATCAAGGAATTGTATGAGCTTTATCAGCGTTGAATAGCATCTCTCTTACAAAAAAAGGAATCGTTATAAATCTCTATTAAGCAAAAGGAAACGAAGCCATACCAACACGCCGTTTCAAACCCACCCCTAAAAAATCAGGCCGAAGCCCTACGAAAACGAATTTTCAAAAGTTTGGGAATTTGCGAGCACAGACTGGTGCCGCCGTACCACACTACAACTGGCTCAGCTTACGCCCATCCAGCCCCCCCGAAGGGGATTCGACCTGGAAAATAATGGGGTATGTATAGGTGAGGTGGAATCAGGAAATCTGAAGATAATTCTGCTTTGCTCCTAGAGAACCCCTACCGGTTGAGTCGACGGACAACGGGTATATATGAACCGGAATCTCTCTTCCAGTCCTCCTTCGCCGCACTCATAGTCTGCTACAAGAGTATCGTTCTCATCAACACCACTTCTCAGAAAAACAAAGATAAGATCATGATGCTAACATCATTTCGCACCCGCCACCAAGGCGGCGGTTCCATCTACCCAGCCCATCACGCGGCGCCTGGAAAAGGTGGCACACTCAGCAGCTCAACACCGTCCGCGGTATTCTAGCCAAGCGAGCTACAAGGCTTTGCCAAAGCTCGTCTTGCATAAATAACAACAGCATGCCAGAGGACCTCAAGCGGTGCTAAATGCGCGTACACAAGCATGAAAACAGCTAGCGTGTGTATATACCTTGCAGATTTCGTGGATTGCCACTTTCTGTTAACCACGCTGTCGTATAGGTGCACACCTCTACCACTGCCTGAAGTGCATCAACAAGTTTCCACGCAGCGCAGAGTAAAGAGCTTCTACGCCGTTCAGATTTCTGCAAATGGATTGAGGCAACCCCAAGCAGTGGCAGACCCGGTGTACACACCCACCCAGGAGACCGAGACAGTTCGTCCTGGGATTAGAGTGCCGCCCTTTTTCATGCCCCCGCGTGCCCATCTACCCTCGCCAATATAAACCTCAAGAATCTCAAGCCCCGCTGTGGTGTGCATGCATGGGCCCCCAACATGAAAATAGCAAGAATCTCAAGCCCCGTAATATCATCTATGCTCAAGCCAACTCGCCAGCAAGAACATCAAGAATCTCAAGTCCCGTAATAGCATCTATGCATGTGCCAACTCGCCAACCTGCATATCAAAGAACCTCAAACCCGCTATCGCAGGCATGTATGAGCCAACTCGCCACCAAACATCAAAACCCTCAAATCCGTTATGGCAGGCTAGTATAGCACACCCGAAACCTCATATACACATCAGCAAAGCCCACCCCATCTCTCGCACCCCACCCACTCCGCCAAAACCCAACTTACCTCAAACCAAAAACACATACCACCCATCCCCATAAATTTTAACCAAACCTACACACCCGTTAGCAAGCTTACTCACCCCCATCATCCTCCACCACCCCCCATACTCAGCAGCAAATCCAGCAAATCCGTACCCCCCACATCCGGCCCAAACGTCGTCTGATTAACGTCTTGTCCCCACGCCGTATTCAGCAGCGGGTCGAGCGGCAGCGCCAGCCAATCCGGGAAATACCCGTCCTGCTGGCCACCCCCGTTGACATCACCGCCACCGCCCAAACCGTGGCCCGTGCCGTTCCCGAAGTTGAGGTGCTCGTTCGAGTTCGCGGCGGTGTGGTTGCTGTGGCCGCCCTGGGCGTTGTAAGGGAACGTGTACGGCGGCGGCATGATGCTGATGTTGTTGTTGGACGGGTCGTAGGGCTCGGTTGAGATGCCCCAGAGGGGGTTCTGGGCGTGGTTTTGGTTCTGGTTCTGGCCATGCAGTATAGGCGTGTTGGTGTTGCGGTTCGAGAGGCTAGGGGAGGTAGGGTTGGAGAGGCCGAAGCCAGACCCGGATGCACCAGCACCCCATTGTGCACCTCCGGCACCCAGCGGACCTGTCGGCGGCGGCATCATTGGAGTCTGTATCCCCGTCGTGCCTGGTGGTTCGTGTGATCCAGCGCGGGAGATCCCCGTGGAGCCACCCGTGGTGGTCATTCGCACGAAGCGGGCGCGGGTGCGGCGGGTGAGGGTGTCGAGGAGATCAGCGAAGCGGTTGCCGACGTGGACGTCGTCAACGATACTGCTCCGTAGGGCCTCGATAGCGCGGCTGAGAAGGCCGAGGGAGAGGGCTACGTCGTCTTCTGGGGCACCAAGGGCAAATGTCTTGAGCAGGATGATGGCAACGCTGATGATGCGGAAAAAAGTTCGGACTGGGGCGTGCTTGAGATAGTCTCCTGGGTAGAGACCTTCTACGACGGTTCGAAGCAGGGAGCGACAGCCATCACTGACTTCGCTAACATAGTAGCGGTCGTTGCCGTACCATTTCGTTCCCATAGAGTGCGGATTGGCGCCGAGGCCAGCGTTCGATGATGAGGAAGAGTTGGGCTGCTTAGAGGCGAAAGACCCGGGGTGGAGCTGATCGGGTGGCGCTGTGTCTTGCTTTACGCGCTCTAAGACGGCTTGGAGTGCGAGCGAGTTGATGTAGACGCGGGTGTAGTCGTATTCGATCATCAAGATGTGTCGAAGTTGAGTTGGTACTGTTGCATCGCGTTAGAAGATATGTTGCGAAGACGCTGGTATACCTCTATGAAGCCCAGCTATTAGGCACCAGGTGGGCTTACAATCTTTGGACCTATCGAAATCCGCCTTCCAGGTCTTCAACGGGTCTTGGAATGACTGCAACTTCTGCTGATACTCGCCAGAGGCTATAACCGTCCGCGTAGACTTCCGACTTGCAAACAACTCTAGGTTTCCCAACTCCATGATTTTGGCAATCTCGTCCCAGAAATTCAGCACCAAGTCTTGAATGGCATGGCGGGCCTGCGTCTGGACCGTCTCGAAAGGTCCGCGCTGGCCAGGATTACCAATGGCCATCCACTGCGTCTGACGCTTGATATCGGCCATACGCTCCGTGAACTTATCGCTTGCGCGCTTGTCGGAGGGCTGGAGGTCACGCTGTACCTTTGGAAGCATTGAGGTGAGACCGACCATGGAAGTAAGACCGAGACGGCCGCTAGTCTGGCTGAGGTAGATATTGAGGAGGTCCTTGAGGTGGTTTCGACGGCGATAGTATGCCTTCACTATCTGGTGCGGGAGGCTCTCGTTATCCTCTCGAAACTCGGCCTCGCTCTTCTCGTCAAACACTCCAATTTCAACGGCCAGAGCCACGGCATTCCCTAGCAACATCCAGCACCTAAAAGAGTCAGTATTTGCCTGAAGTTGAATTTCCTGAAGCACTTACATCCTGTCACTTCGCCAGCATGGTTCCAGCCAGCTGTCGATCCGTTGTCCACCAGGACCTCCTTTGAACAGATCCAGGGAGATATTGCTCCCGTCGCTGGGCTCGGGGACGAGGAGCTCGTCATCGTCATCGCCGGGAGGATAATGCAGAGCTCGCGGATGCCATTCGGTCAGCAACATCAAGCTCTCTACTGTCCCAAGAGTCCTGAGGCCTTTCCGGGAAAGCGGGTTAACATCGGCTCCAGCCTGCTGTCCGGCTCCGCAAAATCCACCTCCGAATTGTTCCTGACCCCATATCAACCGATCCACCATTCCCTGCAAGTAAGCCCAAAGCTTCTCGTGAATCGCATAGGGTCGCGAACTGGCGCCGGGGCCCACGAGGGGCGCAAATCGAGAGGCAATGGTGAGTAGAGTGACGGTCAGGAGGGGCTCGTCTTTGAGCAGCTTGGCATGTAGGCTATGATCGCGGTAGTCGGGCACCACAATAGGCGTGAGGGGCGAGAGGTAGGTGTAGAAGTAGTCGATATAGGCAATCGCCTCCTTAGCTGTGAGCCACCCAGCACGCACGAAACGGAAGCGTCCCCAGGCTCTGACAGCATCGGCGTATGTCGCGTCGGTCGTGGGGATCTGGTCGCCCGTGCTCATCTGAATGGCCGGATCTACAGCCGCTTCTGCCATATTCCTCATGTTCCCACCTATTCCCCCCCTCAGGCTGGGCAGCGTATTGGCTTGTGGACTCGGATAGCTGTTCTGCGAGCCTGGCGTATTGGCCATGCCTAGCATCGGGCGCGCATGGCTTCCTGAGCTGCCGGTCCGGTGATGCTGCTCGATATCGCCATTGCGCCCTGCAGCTTCAAAGAGCAGATTCAGGGCATCGTGTCCGCTGTACACCTCCTTGCTCGACAGTATCGCGGCCGTCGCATTGTTCAGCTTCTGATCCTCCTCGTCGTTCGGTGGGTTCGGCGGGGTTTGTTGCGTATTCGTGCCCGGTCGCCGGAGAGGTTCGTAGCGCGCGACAGAGCCGCCGGGCGTGAGGGGAGGCTGGGGCTGGTTGGAGGTGTAGGAGGTCGAGCGGCTGGTGTTGAGGGCGTCTGGGCGACTCGGGCCCTCGGATGGCAGCGACTTCAGGCGCTTCCGGCCATTGCGGATCTCGTAGTCGGACAGCTCGCCGTCGTCCTCGAAGCCCTCGCCGCTGTCCTGGGGTTTGCGCTTGCGACGAGTCGCGGAGAAGAAGCACTCTTTGCTCTCACGGCGGCACCGTACACAGGGCGGGTCGTGGGGACTGTCGACGGGGCCCATATCGCAGCGCACCTTGCGGCGGCGACATGGTATGCATGCTTGGTAGGTCCGCGTGTGGTTCTGGCCGGCGGCCTTGGATGGGGGAGAGGCCGAGTTGGCGGAGACGGTGGACATGGCGGTAGCACCCAAAGCTGGGGTTCGGTTTGCGGCGGGTTACTGCACAGCCAAGGTGTTGAGGGCGACCAAGGAAGGGCGGGGCCGCGCAGGACCACGAGATTCGGGGTTGTTCGCCGGGCGTGCGCTCGCCGTGTGATGTGTCGAGGAATAGAGCGTCGAGCGGCGTCCGCGGAGGGCGACGAGCTGCAATTCACCGCTCAGGTTGGCTGCCCAGACGTTGGCCGTCCGCAGCTGCCCGAATCAGCCTCAACCTCGACGATACGATAGCCACACGTGCCCAGCAGAACCTCATGCGCTATTACCCCATACATTACCCCATCCCCAACACATTCCCCGCACGCTCTGTATTGACTCATCGTCTCCGCTTCCGCTACCGTCTAGGATGGTCTGCTGGTTGCTCGCCAAAAGAAATCAAATCACAAGAAGTGCATCACGGGACCCCAAGACGCAGGCGACTGATATACACTGATTGATGACGAAGGAGTGTATCATCTTTTCAGAAGCATGGAAGGTGCCTTTGGTTCAGTATGGGTGCTTGGAATGCTTATATCTAGCCGTTGTGGTTCAAAGGTAGCTGAATAACAGTATCTTGCCCTCTCATATTCCTTCAAATCATTTCTCCATTTTAGCTCGTTTGGGACTTCCCTAAAGGTATATATGTCCCTCTCACTCGAATCTGATGATCCATCCATCACCAACCGCGTCATGTGTTGCATCCTGTCCTCCCCAAACCAGAATTCTCCTGTCATCAATAGCCGCATACGCGGCGAAAGCCCTAGGTCCAGGATGTACCTTTCCTTCATGCTCCGTCTCCCCAGTGTTCGTCTTGATTTCAACTTCACTCCAGCTCCACCTCCCCGAGTCCATCCCCAGCGCGTCTCGGGCCTTGTCTTTCGCACTGGACAAGGACATGTCTGATGACGGGATCTGAAGTGTCCATGCGTCGCTGCAAAAGCTGCTGGTCTGACTGTTCTTGGCCGGCGTCGCCGAGTTCGCGTGGAGCACAGCCTGTGCTGGTGCCATGCCGAACATGTAGATGAGGTAGTGACGGCCATGGCCAGTCGAGATGGGTACGAGTGCGGCGCCGTCTCTGGGGCCTTTAGGACCAGGGGTAAGAGGATTAGAGGGAATGGGTATCTCCCGAAATCCGCGTTCCTCTCCGAGAGCAGCTGGGCTAGATGCCATCGCGGCTTCGAGGTTGATTTGCCGGACATTCGTGGAAAGTTCGTCATCACCGTTGATTGTGTAAACGGCATCGTCCACTGCCACTAGGTTGGCCGGAAAGCATGTCGCGGGCTCTATTGCAAGCTTAGCAACCCGCTTTGTGAACACCTTCAGGCCTAGCGTCATAAGAGTAGGCGATCGATACTGGTCTTCTGATGGTGTGTTCCGCACTCCGCCATAGATCACCAATTGGTCGTCTTGAATCGTAGCCCCATGTCCGTAGACAGCATATCCGTCTCCTTCCTCGTCCTCGGCGTACTGTAGGCATGACCATTGCAAGGATTTGGTGCTGAATTTCCATAGCTTCGATCCTTCTTTCAGAGACTGACCATCGTCGTCTCTGCCGCCGTACACGAGGATGACTTCGCCATAGACGGTGGCTGAATGATAGCATCTCGACGGGGGGACTTCTTTCTGATGTTCAACTGACAATGCTGGAATGCACTTGTACTGAGCACCCGTTTCGCTGCTTTTGGGTGGTAAAGTCAAGATGTGCATCTCATTGGTGCAGATAGCTCCAGTCGTTGTTCCTCCGAAGATGTATGCTTTGCCGTCAACAACGCTGACGGTATGGCCTAAACGGCATAAAGAACTTCTATAGATTATCAGTATCTCTGCTGAAATGCGAAGAACGCATTCTCACGCACCGGTCTGGGGTTTGAGGCGACGTAGCGATTTGAGTGAACGTCGCCCTCAACGGCATGGTCTTTTGAGCAATGGCATACCCGGCGATAGCTCCACCCTCAAGTGTAGTAGTAGCGGCCTCGAAAGCAACAGCTCCTGCAGCGACCTCCATCTTGATGTTTGGAATGTTGTTGAAGGAAGCTCGGTCGTTCAATGACAGCTATAAAAAGGGTCCAGTCAATGACGTAGTTTGTGCAAGGTACGGCCAGGTCGGCTTACTGAATTATTCAAACATGACAGCGCTTCCATATACAGAAATCGCTGATGTCAATATCGTCATCTGAACGTGTATCTAAATTGAAATTGATGTTGGTCCTAATTGGATATCACGTGGCTGCGCCAAGACTTTAGTACACCCGATTCCAATCATCATGTCATCAACCACCCTGAAAAATTATGACCTATGTCCGTCTCAATGAAACCGTACAGTCTTAAAGAAAGATGTCTTTGGCTGGTAGACTGCTAACTTGATATGTAGCTGATCACAAGGCAGGGTCTTGGAATTGTGGCTCAGCTTCTAGAATACGTCCGCAAAGTTTCGAGCACCTAGGAGGCATCCTCTTCCCACAACACCACGAGAACACATGATGCACATGCTTTATCATACAAGGGTTGCTCACGATGCGTTCAAAACTCATGTTGTTGTGTTTCATTGTCGTCTTTTGTCAGCATATTAGCGTGACGGCCAGTGTCATTCCTCGTGCTTCTTCCTTTACATTCCCAGCATCTAGCACGGTTTCAGTACCTCCTCCGGCAATTCCAAAGTTTCTCCCAATCTCGTCTTCATCACCCGATACCTTTGGTATCTCACAAGTCAGCGGATTCTACGGTCCGGGGACCTGGGGCGCATGGATCGTCACTGGAGCGGCATCCTGGTATCGCGTTGTGGTTGATCACCGCCATGCACTGGATCCCAACACTTCGGTCTTCCTTTTGGCCATTAACTGGGCCTCGGTCGATCTCATTCGGCATGTTCACTCGCAAAAAGCCCTCAAAGACTCGGGAGACGATTCTAGCGACGAGCACCTCGGATCCATTGGCGCGGCCTTCACCATCGTCTTCTGGGGCGTCGTGCACGAACTCATGCAGATCTACGGCGTCCAGTTCATGGATGAAGGCTCGAAACGACCTCAAAAAGTCCGGAGACGAAAAGTGCTGACTCTAGTCATCGGCATGGTCCTTCCATTTACTGCGCTGTCCTTTATGCTGTTTACCTTCGGGTTCTTCACCGATACTACGTCCCTGACTCGGTTTGGTCGAACATTCCAGCACTCTACCGGATATATTATGGGTCAGACCTGACGGTAGAAGAATTTGAGCATCACGGGGATAGAGTCCTTCACGCATGCCTTCTAGGACTATGGGTTCTGTTTGTCAGAGCTGGTGTATACCTTCACATGTGGTGGAGAGACGCTCCTCAACGCACCAAGATCAAGTTCCAAAAAGCATACCAACCATATGAAAGACACGGAGCATTCCTCTTCAATCTCTTCGCCGTCTGGTCATCGATCTCTATGCTCGTGGTTTTTGTTATGTCGTTTTACGACGAGAATAAGATCTGGATTATATTCATAAGCTCTCCCTTCCTGGTCTTACAGGACTTCCTCCTCTACCAATGCCTTGCAATATCCTTGCTCCCGCTCTTGAGCCTCCTCGTCGCCGATCATTCGCGCTCATGCTTCTTTATGCCTTGCGCGCCGTAGTCAATTACAGACTAGGACCAAGCTTTTAGTCTGTTTGTGGCTGTATCGCTTTTGATTGGTACGGAGATTGCGCCCAATGCCATACGACGCTGGGAGCGCAAACAAGAGGAGCAATGCGCTTTCGAGGAGGAGACGAGGCAGAGAATGGAGCTGGAAATGGGCCAACGAACGAATGCCGTGGGCTGAAACTGATTCGTGTCTCTGCTTCGTTAAGTACGCATCATAGCACCAGATATTGGAGAGCTGTCCTCCTCGTTTGCGATCGTCTCTTCTTCAACGAAACTCCACAACGCGAATCAAGTACCAGCCACAGTCCTCCCTACGCTGCTCGATATGCGGGACGGGACATCGGACGGGCCCGCGTCTCTAGGCTCGTGCGCGGAAAATGTTCATGTTCGACCGCATCAGTTTTTGCGAGGAATCTTGCTACTACTGTCTCTCTCAAAAGAGGGCCAGCGCCTTCACCAAATTCCAACACGAGTTCCGGCTTCTTCTAAGAAGAAGCGATTTCGTCAATCTATGTATGCACCAGTCAGACAATACCAACGCTATAATTCATCGGCAGCTCTGTGCGCAATAACGCCTAGCTTCGCCAATCGTCCCGTCTTACTCGGTCTACGTTTCAGCCTCATGTTTCAGCGTCGTGAACGGTTTCCCATCACCTCTGGCCCGGCTATCCCGTGGAGTCCCGGCGCAATTTTATCTTTTGATTTGCATGTCCACGTTCCAGCCATTGACGAAAGCGGCAAGTCCCCTGCAGCCCTTATTTACAGCGCTGACGGTCGTCGCCTACTTCCATATGAACTGACAAGGTACCATAGTATCGCTAAGCTACATACATACTAGCCTCAGGAGATCACCAACACACCACTCTCCTTTCGTCGCTGTTAGCGACCTGAATCAAGAACGTTGCTCAAGCTCGCGCCTTTGACTGGCCTGCTCCATCCTTGAACCCAACTCGCATGAAGTTATTGGATCTCCATCTCGCATGTTCCCACTCCCCACTTACCTTTGTAAGGTTCGGCCCCCAAGCCGCCCCTCGGTTTAACCGGTTATACATACATAGGTAGCTGTGCGACCGCGGAGATGCCAGGGAGACTTTCCCTCCTGCGATGTTGCGTGCTAGGAGCTCTGCGACGTCGGCCGTCACGTCTTTCCTTCTTTTTTTACTTTTCTTTCCGTCGTTGATTGAGTCGACATGCTTCAATCCGAACGGCACCACGTCGACCGACCTTCCCTGTGACCCCAACAACGATTCCGTTTGCTGCTCCGAGGGCTTCTACTGCCTCAGCAATGGGCTTTGCCAAGACCCGAGATACACAAACCCTTTACGGCTGCTACGAGGCGCTTGTAATGATAAAGGATGGGGAAGCTGTCCGAGTTTCTGCAAGTCAGGTACGCAATGCGACGTGCCTTATGAGGTCCAGTCGCTAATGATAGTAGAATACCCGGGAGGCGACGAAGCCGTAAACTACTGCGGCAACGGCAAATACTGCTGTAGCTCGCAAAACTGCTGCGACGACCCGAACACCACCTTCCTCACCCTAGGCGATCCCTCAGTCTACGCCACAGCGATGCAAGGTGGCGACCCAAACATCAAAACAACAGCAACCGCCCAACAACCCCAATCCGCAACCGCCCAAGCAGCCTCCGCCTCCTCAAACCCCCCCAATCCGGCGCAACTCTCCGCTTCCAGCCCTACCTCCCCAGCCTCAAATCCCTCCAACACCGACTCCGCGGCGGCAAACCCGACCGCCTCTCCCCAAACGACCCCTAAATCCTCCGCTTCCGCCTCCTACACCGGCCCCTTCCTCGCCACAATCACCCTCGCCGGCACCACTATAACCACCACCCTCTCCACACCCCCATCCTCCTCCGCCCCCTCCACAAGCCCCTCCACCTCCACCCACACATACACGACCGCCATCGCCGTCGGCGCCAGCATCGGCGGCACCGCGCTCCTCCTCGGCCTCCTCGGCCTCGGCGTCTTCCTGCGCAGGCGCGCGCGTGCGCGTAAAGGGCGCGCGCTCGTGGAGATGGATAGCGGGGGCGCGCGGAATGAGTTTGAGGGGTCTGAGGGCGTGTGGGCGTGGATGAGGGGGAAGAGGGGGGACGAGAAGGAGATTGGCGGCGCGCCGGTGTTTGAGATGAGTGCGGAGACGGGGCCG